TGAACTGCAGTCTGCCATGTGGGAGTCCAGTGACCTTTACCACCATGCCACCTGCAGGCTCCAAAACCTCAATATTTTTTAAAATTAACAATAGTAATATTTGTTAAGCGGTACTTTGTGCCAATGTATTATCTCATCTAATAATACATACATAGGTAGAAATGCTCACATTTCCCAGATGATAAAGTGGGAAAAAGTTTAGAGAAGTAACTTAAGTAACATAATGGGTGGTTGATCCAGGAATTTCTTGATGCAGAATTCACATTATTGCATAAGCCTTGACATCACTCAAAAAGTACCGTGAGGGCATTTGGAGAGACAGTCAACAATTAAGAGCGGAGCTGGAGCTGGGGGCGGGGGTTATGATGTTCACATAGACACAACAGTAATTTTTTTCTTTCAAAAAACACAACAATTCTTTTGGAACTAAAGCAGTGGGTTCTCAAAACATTGTTGGGGGGGATCAGTAATGGCACAGTGGTTAAAGGTGCTGGACTCCCACATAGTTGAGTACAGTTTAAGTTCCAGACCCAGTGGCTTGAAATTCATGTCAGGCACATGTGTGTGCATGTCCAAAATCCTGAGAGGAGAATAGAGGAGAAGGGATTGTGGTGTGGTCATCCCCCCCTGAAGGGTAATTTTTCACTTTCTGTCTCTCTGAAAGCCCTATAACCAAAATAAAAAAATATAAAAGCTCTTTAAAAAAAATAAACAAAACATAGTAAGGGGACTATCCAACCTTTTGTTGGATCTACAAGGTTCAATTATTTTTATACTAAGACTCTGAGGTCAAAGCTGTTTTAATAATAATACTAAGACACTCATTTTCTTCAAAAGAGCACTCGTGGAATTTTCCAGCAGCTACCTGGCAAGGGCTGTTGTAACAGATTAAATACAGAACACAGCTATGAACGCAGCTCTCTTCTGTTAAGTCTAGTGTTAGAGAGACCTGCAAAAATGACAAAACAATACTACTCACCTAAGTTGATATTTTTAAATGGAAAGTTTTTATAACAGTATTTCATTTGTGTTAATATATAATGGTTTCACTATTTCTATTTTTAAATGAATTAAACATTTAAACATGTCTTAGTTTAAATTTTAAACATAGTAAATAATGGCAGACATCACCTACAGGCCCTCCCTAAGTTTTAAGAGTGCAAAGGCGTCCTGGGGCTGAAGGACTTAAACATCTGTGCTCTGCAATCAATTATAGAGCACCTTTATGCTGGAAAATGAAAGATGCGTGTCACAGGTGGATGTTAACTCCGATGATTGGCACTGCAGCTCTAAGAGGTCAGCTAAGGTGAACTATATCACTAAGTCACAAAACATCATTTCCTTAGATGTCTCCACTCACAGAGGAGATCTGAGAACTGTATATAGAAACAGAACATGCTGTTAGCCGGGCTCTGAAAAACAGAACTTTCCTTAAAGCCCAATAGGATTAGCAACAAACGACTGTAACAACATGCTGCCTTAAAAATATAGACCAATGGGACTCTTGCAGCAACACAGACAACCACTTTTATTTTAAATGAGAACTTCGACGCAAAAAACTACATAATCACTGCTACAAGACCATGCCGTTTATCCACCAACCCCGAAATGTGGGGATGTTCTGTTAAAGGCGTCTATTTAAGGACCAGGAAGAGACTTTTGCTCCATTTATCCTTCTGTGAATTGCATTCTTATTTCTCTTTTCATAGCCACTCCTTCCCTTCTCTTTTGAACCTCATGACTCCTCCAAAAAAACTTGATTCTTTCTTTCTAAGTGCAATGAGAAAGAGACTAAAGGAAGTTTAGTTCCGAGAGAACCCCTTGCAGTCATTACAACAATGTAAAATGATTCAGGTCTGCAATTCAAGGTGGGTTTTACTGGGTATGAGCTGTTCTATTGCAATGAACTGATAACAAGCTATTACAATTCTAATGAAGTAGAGCTAGCACATGATCCAGTAATTCCACTTCTGAATACATATCCAAAGGATTTGAAATCAGCGTGTCAAAAAGGTATCTGTACCTCCATGTGTACTGCAGCATTATTCATAATAGCCAAGATATGAAAACAACCAAGTATCCAAGTATTGATCCAAACGAGAAAAGAAGACGTAGTGCATATTCAGAACGGATTACAATTCAGTCTTAAAAACAAAGGAAATTCTGTCAATCACAACAATGTGGATGAAACGAGGATAATATAAGGGACTATGTCTGGCATGAAAGAAAAATACCTTATCATTCTATATTTAATCTCAAACAGTCAAATTCATAGAAGGAAGCTGATTGTGAGTTACCCATGGCTGAGGGTAGAGATGAGAAAATGTTGGCCGAAGGGTACACATTTTCAGTTAAACAGGGGAAATAAGCTTTTGAGAGCTACTGCACAGCAAGGTAACAATAGTTAATAATACTGTATTGCACATTCCAAAGCTGCTAAGATAGTAAATATTAAATTCCTTTTTGCTTTTACATGACAAAAATTACATGTATTTATCGCACACAGCACATTTAAAATACGTACATTGTCGAGTAGCTAAATCAAGTTAATTAATGTGTTTATTACCTCATGTGCTTATCATACAAGAGTAAATTTCAAATAGTCTCACCTCAGAAAATAAGTATGTGAGGCGATGGACATGTTAGTGAACTATCATCATTCCATACTGTCTACATATGTCAATCACATTCTACTCTATAAATATGTACAATTATAATGTCAATTAAAAAGAAAGTGAAATAAAAACAACTCTAGCGACGTATGACAGTAAATACACTACAAGAGAGGTATTCTTTAGTAAAGAGAAATACAAGAAGAGCCCAGCAGTATGCAGGCAAGTGAAGAGACATCTAAGGACGAACATACTTGTGCCCACCCCTAGGCGCACCTGCTGTGTAGCTGCTAAGGCTGTGAAGAGGAGGAGACAAGTCCTGCTTTTGAGGTTCACAATCAGCCTGAACAGATGACACCTTCACAGCTAATTAGCATACACTATGTTAAGTGCCATAAAGGCCCATGAAGCTTGTGCTCTGAGAGGGTGGGAAGCGAAATAGGTTGGACTGTTAGGGTTGGTGAGAAAATTTCAGGCAAAAGGCCTTGTGTGAGTCGGCAAAGTGCTAGGTGTCCCCTTGGAGTGAGAAGTGTTCCATGGAACAGCATGTGTATGTGCACCTGGGTGTGGGTGTGCAGAGGGTGTGGCTGACGCAGAAGTGAGGCTCGAAATGCAGGGGAAAGCCAGCACAGAAACATTCCTCATGTGGAAAATTGCTCCGAGTAAATTAGACCTATCTGGAAAACTATCTAGGGAGGTTAGCCTTTAGCTCAGAGGGCTTCATTGAGCATGTCATCTAAAATACAGTTCCTCTACAATGACACCAATGATTATACCACAGCAGAGTTCCAGGGCCTGATTTTAAAATAATGCTCATGTAGATTTGCCCACTAAGAGTTAATGGCCCATGCGCCATTCAAGGAAGAAAAAAGCTTATTTTAAAAATGCAAAAAATGCAGCATTAAACTTAAAGTTATTTACAATCTAAATGGGTTTTTATTATGGTATGCCCACAAAGCAATATATGATCAAAGTGCAATCTATAAAAACCATATTACATAATCAGATAACAGCTTCTTAAAGTTAGTTCCCAGGTTACAAATCCTAGGTAACTAAGGGAAAGACCATTTTAAAATAGAAGTAAGAATATCCTTCATTTGGGAAAATCTTCTATTTGAAACTGGACTACTTTGTAATATGTTATTAACAATCTGGTTGTAGGTGTAAAGTCACCAATTTTATTACAATATTAGTCTAGATTTTGTGGGAGAGTATGTGCATGCAAGAGGATGTATAAACTATAAAGTCGTATTATTCTTCAATGTCTATTGAGAACTTTTTAAAAACTATTTTAAGACATGCATTGCATATTTTAAAACAAAGTTTACCCTAAAATACATGTACATTTTGGAATTTCAATTCATTGGACAGAGTCATGGAGTCCCAAGTTTAATCACAGCTCATTAAAACTGCTTAAAAAATTGATTGTAAAATAACTAAAACGATACTGGCATAGACAGTATTTATCACCATGATTATTGTAAAATCTTAAATATTTTATGTATGTTATGTGTGTCATTTGAAATAGACCTTTTCCCTAAAAAGTAATCAAAGAGAGAAACGTTATGTTTGCGTTTTCTTTGTTCAAGGTGTTTATTGCATCTCAGAGGGCATACATGCACTGGGTTCTTAAACCAAAATACAAAGAAAAGCCATTTTGAAATTGGTTTTAGGTCATTTTTCCCCATTACAGTGTATGTTATCCCCACAGTAAGTTCAGATACAACCACTTTTAAATGGTACCATACATCTATTAAATAATTTGAAAAATAGGCAAACACCTTTCCAACCCAATAGGCTTTTACAAAGAGCTGCCAAGCCACTAGCAACACTGATCAACAGTGACCTCATTTATGCATCAAAATCTTAAGCCAAGCCATCAGCACAGACAGTATGACAACAAATTAAAAATTAAAGAATACAGTATGTACAGTAAAAGATACAATTCTCTGAATTAGTTTAAATCCTAATCACAATGGTACAACAAAACCTACTTTGAGCTCAATTGAAAGATGAAAGAATGCTAGTCTACAGAACACACAAAGAGTACCAAATTAACAGATGTACATAAAAGCCACAGTGAAGTAAAAATATCTGTAGTAATCTTTAAATTACAGATATACCTTGGGGTGCTTTCATAATCACTTGAATAGCACATCTCTAATTGCATTTTCACGGACATGATAGAAACGGACCCTTTACCTTTCAGTGCAGTTCATCAAGAATGAATAATAAATAGGTCAATTTAGATGCAAAATCCATCAAATATAATTAAAATATATATTTTAATATTGTCATGATAAATATGGAATTCTTCCCATATGATTTTTCATTCTTGATAAGGTAGCTTCAAGGAGAAGTATTTATTATGGACATTAACTTTTATATTCTTTAAAATAAAATTTCTTAACATATACAGTGCCACAAAAATAAACATTTCTCACAACAGTTGAAGTTCCTGTGATTGGAAAATGTACTCCACACCAAAAAAAGTTCTGTATATTTAAGAGTGTTTTTCTTACTATCTGATATTATCACACTATGTTTGTAACAGAGATACAGAAGAAAAGAGAATTTATGGAAGAGTTTAGGGTTTGTCCAAAAGTTATATATACATTGAAACCTCCAAAAACACAGACACATCTTTCCAAATGGCTCACACGACAGCTGCGTCATCCGTCCATGGGCGAGGTCCAGAAAAGCACTAGAGGCATCAGAAACATCCATTCATTGTTTACGTCGTACAACACACAAATAACCCAAATACACTACGATTTTGAGAGTAGGGATAACAGCTAAGGTAGTACACATTCCTAATGTTCACTTTCACAGCTGTGCTACACATTTTTGAAGAGAAGTTATGAGTAAGCATTGGGTTCGGTACTGGTGGCTCACTTTGTAACTCTGAGCATCAATCTTTTTTGAAGTCTCCAAACTCATTTTTTTTTTTCCTATTCAGTCACAAAAATTGCAGCTGTAAAGAAAAAAGTACTTGAATTAGAAAACGGACGGTTCCATGCTTCCCATCTTACTTCCTTTGCACTTTTATACTAGGAAACACTTTCACACAAATGACTTCCGTATTAACCAACTCACGTTTATATACTTTGCACGATGCCTTAAAACAAGCTTAAAATTTCAACCAGGAAACTTTTAAATAAAAACTTTCAATGTATGATACCATTTTAAATAAAATAGTATCAGTAAATATTTGAAATTTAGATAGTTAATAGAAATTTTTGTAGTTAGACATTCAGAATCTATTAGGAAGAGCTAAACTTTCAAAAACGGCAGTTAAAAAAAGAAAAGGAGGGCAACAGCTGCGACTTTGTTTCTGCTTACATGCAGCTAGGGTGTTCAGTGAGTCACTTACAAACGAGCTGAACAAGGGACAGAATAGATGACAACGGAGATTTCCCTGGGTACTCGATGCCTTCTCTAGTACCAACTCCCACCTGTCTCCCTGCTTATGTCTCGGTAGTCAATTCTGCCCTGAAAACTTCCCAGCGTCTTAAGGCTTAGCCATGTGGGGGAGCCCCTTCATAAAAGTATGCCTGTTCCTCTCTTAAACAGGGACTGTCTCAAGCATCTCTGTTTCCAGTACTTATTGAAGTTCCTGGCATATAATGGGAGCAACATTTACTGAAGATTGCTCCATGCAGTTTCCTTAGTCACTCCTGAAAGCTTAATTGCCAAGAAGTAAGTGTTGGTTGTCTTACTTATGCCTACCACAGCTTAACCTGAAGCAGAATGGAAAAGGTAAGAATGAGAAGAAATTATTTGACTGAGAAATTAAGCCCCTAAAATGATACAGTATTAATATTATGTAAGAAAAAAGGAGTCATAAAGAAGGAAGCCACAGAAATCCTACTTGGTATTAGAGAAAGCTTCTAATAAATATAGTAGCAGATGTATAATAAAACCCACACGGGACAGTGGTCCAAAAACTTCAGCATGCTTACTTCTTCCTGTGAGACCTTGAGCAAATCGGTTAATATTCAATGATCAGTACTTTTAGCCCTGGAATGAAGGCAAAAAATACGTGGCGAGGGCCAGCTGGTGAAGTGCTTAAATAAGCTGGATCACATAGGGTAGATTTTGAGGTTGGAGCGTGTGTGTGCCCAAAATCCTGAGAGGAGAACGGAGGACAAGCGATTGCAGTGTTGCCATCTCCCGTCTCTGCTGAGTGCACACATACTATAACAAAGCTATAAAAAAAAAAAAAAAATCTTGGCTAGTTTATCTCAAAGGATTTGATCTCTTGCTGAGAAGATCAAGGACTCAATGACTGGGAAGTGAATACAAAAAATAATGTGTAAATGAGAAACAGTATTATTAAGTTCATCCATTAAGGAAGTTTCTGTTGAGAACCTACCCATTGTGTTAGGGGCTAGGGTTAATAATGACATTTTTCCTCATTAGCTTCTTTCTATAAGTTCACAGTTAGTCATTACACACATTATATAAAATTTATGAAGTTTAAAACTAGAATATTGGGGCCAGCAAGTGGCATGTTGGTTAAGGTGCTGGACTCCCACATGGCTGACTGTGGTTCAAATCTTGGACCTAGAGGCTTAAAAATCATGCCAGGCACATGGGTATGCATGCCCCAAATCCCAGAAGAAGAATGGAGAAGGGATTATGGTATGGCTATCCCCCATTGGGGGGGGTGATTTCTCACTTTCCCTCTTATTATCTCTGTCTCTCGGGAGAGCTCACATGCCCTATGGGGGAAAAAAAGTAACTAGAATATTAGAAATTTAGAATTCTGCTTGAATGCAGAAATGCAGAGTAATAAACTAAGCTTTATTTCATGAGGTAAAATAAAGGTAAGTAAAATAAAGCTATGACTATGTAGCTAAATATACTTTCAGCGAATTTTAACGTGCAATACTATAAATGTAGCTTCCTATAAAGTCCAGTCATTGTGTAATGAAGTGGTAATTTTCTAATATACTAAGTAGTTTGGGTAACTTTTTGCTTTATCAGTATAAACTTTGTGCTTTCTGATTTGGAGATTTCTCTCCTAGTACTATGAATTAATAGTTAAAATTTCTCTGATAAAGGCAGCTTTTATTATCAATTTAAAAGTATAAACATTCAGATTAGTACAATTACATATATCTATTCAAAACACAGAAATAACAAATATCATATCTGAATAGCTAAGTATTGCATAACTCATTATTACACGTTCACAGGAAAAGCTCAATATTAGATACCTTAAATTGTTTACAAGAAATCCTTGATGTTAAGATCCGCTAATGGGTCCTTTGCTGGAGGTTTCTTGGGACTCTGAGTGGCGGGTGTAGGGCTTGGAGAAAGCTAAAGGAGGAACAAGCCAGCCCCAAAGAGCAGAAATAGAAAGCAAACAGATATAATATAGGTAAGCATTAGGCAGCACATACCATGGAAACCAAACATGCAGAAGATTGATGGCTAAAGGTTTTCAATATCTACTTTGTTCTACTTAGTCACAGTGTTAATTTTAGATTGCTAACATGCATTTCAAATAGAATTTGGCTTTCTTGAAACTCTTCACTATCAGATTTAGCCAAATTTAGTGAAATTTGGGGACTCTGGTAGAAAATATGGATGTGAGTTAAGAAAGCTATGATGAAATTAGTCACATAAAGATATTAAGAACATGTAATAAAACAAATAAACAAAAACAATCAATTCTTCTATACAAAAGCATTTTTTACTTTTAGTTATTAGTATCACTAAGCTAACAAAGGAATTTAAACAGCTTTTCTCATAGTGAGGGTAAGTTTGAAGGAAAAATGGAAACAGTTTGCAGAAAGCCACTAAAGAAATTACTTCAGACTACTGCATATCAATTATTTAGAGTTAAAACCAGTCAACTTTGGGGGCCTTGTTTGTTTCAGATGAGCCCATGGTTTCTAGTCATAAATGTCACTAAATTCCAATACTACCTATCTAACTTTCAGAGAAGGTGAAAACTAATTGCTAAACATAATAGGAAAGAATAGTACAGAACTTGCAGCAAAAGTAAAAAGAATTCACTTACCTTGTCTACATTTAACCAATGTCTAAATTATATGCGACAGACATTACTTCTGGAAATAGGCTTTCACAGGAATATTAAGGTACAGGCCTCGCAAAATCTCAAGTAATCTGTATGGAGTAATAGTCGACATCTATGTTTTGCGTCTCATTAATCTCCTATGTTTGTGACATGATGGAAATCTCAGAAATCGGGGATTGTAGGGCAGGATGTATCATTTCATTGGTTCAGTAAACAGAGCTCCAGAAGTATGGATTTTGAGATTTGTTATTATACCCAGAAACAAGTGACTGAGTGTATTACCTATTGGCCAACTTTCCATTTTTAAAACTAGGATAATACTTCATAGATATATCAGAAAAAAATAAATGCAAGACTTGAAGTTTCTTAGAGGATATAGAACTCAAGTTAATAATTAGGTGAGACTGCAATATCTTGATTCCAACCAATTAGAGAACAGTAGGAGAATCCAAGCATCAATAATGAAAAATTATTTCTCTTTCCTATTTTTTTCCATATGGCCAGAGGGTGTGTGCACTGTCAGAGAAACACAGAAAGGGGAAGATAGACAAGCAGAGGAGAAAAGCATCTCCCAATTGGACATGGTCATGCTGCAATGACATCTGCTTCATCTTTCCACCCTATTGGGATTTGGGACACAGCGATCAAGGCTGGGATTCAGACCATGGTCGGCAATGTGGGATCCAGCTCCCTTTAACTACTGGGCTAAACTTCTTTGTTTTCTGAAGCTACAAACTAATGTTTATTTTATTCTCTAGTGTAATTACAGTTCTTCTAGGATATAGGAAATATAAAATTTATATAAATATGGCATACTACTTCCCAACTTACTATAAATTAAATTACTGATTAAAACTGTGTTTTCATCATATACTATTCACAGTTATCAATCACATAGGTTTCTACTTTTCAGTTTTATTCTTCAACGTAAGTGAATAAATTGATGCCAACACTGGTATTTTGAGGGAAAAACTACCAAAAGTTTTGTTCTTGGGAACCATCTTGAATTAAGTAGAAGAATGGAGGGACCTTAGGACAGTTAGTTATTTCTACCATTTTCCTGCAAATGTCACACTATGGCTAGTAAAACGCTTTGTAAATGGCTTGCCGCATGACGGTTTTACCCTTAGAAGTCGTGTCACTGACCTGTGTGCCGGGCACAGCTGCAGCTCCAAAGGGTGGCCTCATCATGGGCTGTGCAAACATGACTGGCTGCTGAGGCATCATGGGCATGCCTGTCCCAGCAGGAGGCTGAAAGGAGAGTGGTTCAGCGCATGAGCAGCGTCCATCAGGACACTACCCTGACATTATGGCTTCCACACGTTTTTGACAATTGCTGAGGAATCTAGGAATCTAGACAAGAACCTATAATCTGTAGTTCTGAACTCTGAGTGCTGTAAGGCTAGAGGGAAGGAGAGAGTCGCTGAGGTGGGAGCTTCCCCTGAGTGGCCACCTGTCATCTTCCTCCAAGCAGGCTTTGTTATTTATCTTCTGAAAGCATAATTCTTGAAGAGATTAAAAATTATTTCTTTATGAAATGTGGCTCTGAAATTTGCTGGTGGTAAAAGTCATAAGTGAAAAGTCCTACTGTAATGATTGTTGGTTTTGCTTATTAAGCCACAGTTATATTTGGTAAATGTTATTCCAAAATGACATAAAAATGTACTACTGAGATTAATTTAATGGTAAAACTTAAGTATTATATAACTAATTTTATGACTTCATGTGTGAACCACTTAGGATCTACAGCAAATTTTCAAGTTTTGCTTTACTGCATTTACAGAAGAATCATATTCTACAGGAACACTCGTTGAGATTTGGTCAAAAATTTAGAAATGTTAGTTGCAATCTTTAGCACAGGTCATCACTCACCATTCCGAATCCTGCTCCGGGTTGTCCAACAGATGGGGCCCCGGCACCAGGTGGCACCGAACTCGTCGGAGGTACAGCTCCTTGCTATACGCACGCCAACACACAAAACCACATGAAACACACACAACAGTGACAAACAAATACAGAGGACCAACATAATTTGATTTTAAGATGACAGATTATATTATGAAATGCATGCATTTCCAGGATATATGTGTAGGTTTGCACAGACATCTTAGATTTCAGTTCTAAATTCTAAAAAAATGGCGCTAGCACCAAATTTATGACATACACGAGGTTACTGACTTGTGCACTGTGGTGGTGCTACTTGGACTTGCTGGCTTGCAGCTTGCTCCTGGCGTTGGGCTTCCTGATTCTTTCTACCCATCTTCACTGTAAATGAACTGCACGTCTCTAAGCTTGTCTGTTGTTATCATTACATTTCCTGACAGGCACTGGGTTAGATATTTGAGGATTGTGCCTTCATTTACTTGGCTTTGCTTTAAATAATTCTTTATTTACTTATGATGGAGTATGTGCAAGAGAGAGAGAAAGAGAGAAGCGTCCTCCCCAGGGTCAGATCACACAACAATCCCCCTTATCCAGTCCTCTAACCATCAGATCTTGGGCACTTGCATGTGTGCCTGGTGTGTTTCAGGATGAGCAGGCTAGGGATTTGAACCGTGGTCACTGTGTGGGATCCAGTTGCATCTGAGCAGTGAATTACTGCTGTGCTATGGAGCTGGCCCTTCATTTACTTTTCAATGCTCATTTGCCATTCCTTTCCCATTTTTATTTTTAAAATCTTTATTTAATTTTATTTATTATTATTATTATTATTATTATTATTATTATTATCATTATTAGTTGATGAGAGAGAAAGTGAGAAAGCAAGCTAACAGGTCCAGGACTCAAACCACTGTTGGCCATGTGTGAGTCCAGTGCCTTACCACCATGTCACCTGCTACCCTCCCATTTTTATTCTTTTTTTTTTTTTTTTTTTTTTTTTCTCCTTTCCCAGATGGGGAAGGTCCTGAGTTCACATCCTGGTACTTCCTTGAGCACACTGGGCACACAAGCATATGCCCATGATCCTGGCTGGCTGAGATTGGAGAGGGTCATGGGATGAGGACATTTTTGGGGGTCTTGTCTCTTTCTCCCTTTCTCTCTCTCTTTCTAATAGCAGTAAATATTTTATTTTATTTTTTAAAAGAAATTAGGCTTATGTATCCCAGAAAAGTTAACAAATTTTTAGAAAAGTATAAGACAAAAGAAAAGAACCTTGAGTTTCTAGGGTGGCAAGTATATGGGAAACAAATGGTAGGTAAAGGCTAGCTAGTAAAGTTTATTCTCTCCGGTGCCCTCTTCAGGCTGATTAGGATCTAAAATACGGTGATGACCTTACCTTTCCAGGTAGAGAAAGGAAGAGGAGCACCTTTGTTAAATTATGCACCGCTTACTTAGGTAAATGGGGGTGGGGACTGAGAGCTTTTCTTGTACCTACTTTTATTTCTTTTTTCCTTTTTCTTTTGATTTAAGAAAGGATCTGGCCAATTCACAATCCTCCTGCTTCAGCCTCCCAGCTGGATGGGATAAAGGGGGGCATTAGGAAAACAAAAGAAATAGGTTTCCATTACCCAAATCTGGGCATGGATGATATTTTCCTGTAGACATTATGATTTATATTTTAATTTAATTAATGCTATTAGTGCTGTGTAAGAGCAAATTCTGGATCCAAAATGCCTTTTTTTCTGATTGCTTTGAACTTATTGCACTGTTTATATATAAAAATGACTGTAAAACTATTTAAAAATATGTTCTAAATTTCAAAATTCAGCTCTTTAATTTCTGGAACACAGTATGTGGGTATGTGTATGTGTATGTGTGTGTGTGTGTGTCTGTGTGTATCTCATGATGTTAGAGTCTCATGATGTTAGGAGGTGCCCACCTCAGTCTTTGGAGTAGATAGGGCCCTTGCACCCAGCTTATAGGGTGGGCTGGGACTCGAATTGGCCCCCCTAAGTGGCCCCAATCTGCTCAGTAGCAGTGTTAACTAGTGCATGCTATTACAGCTGGGCCTGGAACACACTATATTTAGGTGGAGTCTTTCTAAAACATTTATACTCTAATTTATATATATTTATTTACTTCTATGTATGTTTGTTTAGCAGGAGGCAGTCAGTGATGGTTGTAGATTACGGCCAGCCACTATGGTGCAGCAGTAATGCAACACTTGCGGTGGTAAAGCCACATAGGAAGGTCCAGAGTTTGTGTCCCAAGGTCTCCCTGTGCATGCTGGGGACACACAAATGCCTATGGTTCTGGCTGGCTGCGGCTGGCAGTGGATTGTGGCCTGAAGACCCTTTTGGGGATCCTGCCTCTCTTCCCTTTCCCCAGTCCTAGTGATGTCTCTCTCACTTTTTCAAAATAAATAAATAAACTTAAAAAAGAATTAATGCAGACAACAAGTAAAAGATGAGAAAGCCTTAGAGAGGGGTACAATTTGAACAGGCAGAGGTGATAAGCAAAGGAAGAAACTGCAAGTGAGCTTGGCAAACACTGGTTATCCTAGTTTTGCTGAACATCAGGCATATATAGGGAAACAGCGCGTTTTGCTACCCTGGAAACATGTTCATTTTGTGTTGGCAAATTTCACAAAGCAATGATTAGTCTTATTTTCCAGTGATATGCAACTTCCCAGAGTGAACAGTGGTATTAATAATATTAATAAAAATTAAAAATAAAGAAACAAAAGCAATTTAAGTCTTACAGAAAAAATGGTGTTAGTAGTTTCAATTTTAACAGTGAGCAGAAGAGGATTTTAAAATGAAATTTCACTTACACAATAGAAAACTGCCCAATCTTTCTGGTAAGAAAAAGAGTTTTTATCACTTATTAAGACAATCAGGAAATTGGGGGAAAATGTGATAAAATATATAATGGTCAATGACATTCAATGCTTTTGAAAAATTGCTTCTATAACTTTACAAATACAGAAGAAGCATAAATAGTATTTCTCAATATCTGAAATTTAAAAGTATAGGTCATAATCTTAACTATAAAATCAACAGAATTTGCATTTTGGTAAATTTTGCATCTTGCTCATATGGCTTTAATGTGGATGAATCGGGTACAACGTCAGTAGCAGAGTGAAGCAAGTGTACCCTGCTCTATTCACTTAGAAACGGGCAAACTGCCCAGAATCTGCCGGCTAGGCTACGTACCAAAGGTGCACTCGGGGGAACCCCTGCTGACCACGTTGCAGGAGCGACTTTCGGCTGCCAGTTGGCTCCACCAGTCAACTTTTTCTCACCCGCATTCCACTGAAGATCTCCCCTAAAATCAAGCATGCAAAACAACTAAAAATCCATGGAATCAGAAAGAAAATACTGTATGGTTATTTGGAGTTTTTTATTTGGATTTAGAAGCAGTCTGAGTTAGTTTGTAGCCAAGAAAGCAGGCTAAAACTTACAAAAGAGTCCTACCGTGTTAAGGATGCTTAAAAGCATTCGAAAAACAAAATCCTTTAGAACATGGACCTCAATGATAATGTGAATTCCTTATCATCTGTAATACTCATCTGCATTCTTCACTCATTATAAAAGTTCTAAAGAAGTATATCATAAATATCGAATATTTTGTTGAATTCGGGATGTATTGACGGTGGGACTTTTTGGACCTTAAAAGGCTCCAAGGTTTTGCACAGTATCACAGCTACACCCTCCCTGGTGACTGTAAGACTATAAAGTGCAACCCCATTTTTTTTTCTTTAGAAAATTTTGCCATAGGGTGTGTGTACTTCTTAGAGAAACAGAGAATCAGAAAACAAGAAATCACCCCCCCCAGGGGGGATGAACACACCGTAATCCCTTCTCCTCCATTCTCCTCTTGGAATTTTGGGCATGCATGCACACACACCTGGCATGAGTTTGAAGCTACCTGGTCTGGGACTGGAACCACTGTCGACTACATGAGAGTCTAATGAAGCAACTATCATGCCATCTGCCAGTCCCAGTGCAACCCAGTTTTAATGACAACATGTACATCTAAAATAAGGGCAACTGTTTATCATTCTTACTATCCTTCCTTGAAAATTGATACATGAAAGACTTTTCAAACACAATGTTAGCTAGGAATATTGTAATGAATCTAGAATTAAACGCTATTAAAATATTCAAAACTCAATTCCCAAATGTCTCCAGATGTAACTTAGTGACAATCTTGGAGACTGAGATAGATCATTCCTTTTCATTACAGAACAACAGTTTGGAGGTTCCAGTGGAATAACAACAACAAAAAGTCCAAAATGTAAATAAAAACCAATTTTTAAATTACTCAGTCTGAGAATGAGTAATTAATTCTTCAATAATTATCACATTTGCTAGTTAAAAAAATACAAATATATTGTCAATAGGAAACCAGATAATTTCAAAATACTTACTTTTTTGATGTGGTACCAGAAATTCCAAGATCTATAAATAGATAAAAGAAAAAAGAATTTAAACCTTTATACTTAGTATATATGATAAGACATTTAAAAGATCAAACAATCAGAGGTCTAGGAAAAGTCCATGTTTCACCGAGGAATCATTGCATTTTTGGCATTCAGTTATACCCAAAGAAATTATTGTATCAGGAGACGTATCCAAAGATTTAAGTTTTTCTTTTACTTCACATTAGACTTAAGAATTACATTAAGGGGGCAGCAGATAGCATAATGGTTATGTCATTAGATTCCCACATAGTCAACGTAGACTTGGTGACTTAAAACTCACACCAGGCACGTATGCGTGCATGTGTGCTCAAGATTTTGAGAGAAGAATGGAGGATAAGGGACTGTGGTATGGCCATATCCCCTGGAGGTGATTTCTCATTTTTAGTCTCTATGGTGAGTGCATGCACCCTATAGCAAAAATCTCTCCCCCAAAAAAAAGAAAAAGAAAAAGAATTACATTTTAATGTCAACTGCTATCCAGAGAAGAGTAAACTTAGTAGGTTTGAGATGACTATCTTAGGAAATCCTGCAAGGCTGGTGTCTGGGGACTTGGCTAGTTTTACATAGAGATAAAACCTTCCCTGAATGATACTATGGCTCACTGTGCTAAACCAGACTGTGTGGTGTATGCTGAATGCCTGCCTTCCTGCTGCAAGTTTGCAGGTCTCTGCCAGCCAGAGTGCCTGCAGAATGAGTGTCAGACAAGAGCCGGACTCTCTAAAGTACTTCCTACGGCAAAAACATCGCACCCATGTTCCTGCATTTCCACTGATGGAGGAAAAGTGTGCTCTTCTCATGAGAAAGAGCGTGGGGAAGTCTACACATGATTCTTCCAAACTCTGCCAACCTTTTCCCTATGATCGAGCTGTGTGTCCTTAGTGCTGCTGTAATAAACACCAGCTGTGAGTACAACGGTGTGCTGAGTCCGGTGAGTCCTGCAAATCTGTTATTCTGGGCTGATCTTGGGAACTCAGCATTGCTGGCTTAATCATTCTACTGTAATCTCAATTCCTTTGTTATTTTGTCAAATATTTATTGAGTTTCTACATATGCCAGACACCATTCTAGGCACTTAGGACGTAGCAATAAAGCAAATGGTCAAAGATCCCCATCCTGGCGGAACCTGCACTGTACTAGTGTGAGAAGATGATCAACAATAAAATAATAAAAATGTAAATGACATGGGCTGCTAAGAGGTGATAAGGAAAGCCTGCGGAGAATAAAAAGGAACATGGTAAGGAAGGTCAGAGGGGAGGTGAGAGTGGAGGGGGGAGGTATTATATTGTGTCAACTGGAAAGTCATGATGCATTTTTGCATAGAAAGACATAGATGCCTAATTAGTGGGGTGGTAGGGGAAGGTCTCATGGAGAAAGTAAGACTTATACAAAGCTAAGCCGAAAACCTGGGGGAGAAATTTCCAGGCTGAGGGAGTAGCAATACAAAGGCTTCGGACAAGGAATCCATCAGTCAGATGACATTTAGAGTAGACAGAAATATTTAAATAACTTTTCCTGGGTGTTATGAAATACTGAAAGCAATGAATGGGAAACAAAAGGTATACCTACAAGAAAATGCATAGGTAAAGAAGCCTAAAACAATGATCCACTAAACTTTAGGTATGCTGTGAGTCATGAAAGATTTCTGCAAGAGTAAACCCATTCATGTCAATAGAAAATCAAATTTTCAGCGTTAAAAGCAAAGCCCAGTCTTTATAATAGCTGTTCTAGTCTCCTAAGACTTTCTGTTTGACTTACTCAGCTTTGGCCCCTTCTCTCCTGATGCCCCTGAAATCTGCCAGGCAGTTTTCTGCACTGATGCGTTTGCACTGACTACTTCCTTTGCCTGCACATGTTCTCCTTCAAATAGTTCAATCTCTTACCTTCAAATTTTTGCTCCAGTTTCACCTTACTCTACCATCCAACCTATAGCACTCCCAGTTCCTCTGCCTATTCTATCGACCTAACATACTATAGGATTTTCTTAACTTAAAATACTTGTTCTGCCCTTTCTGAACACTATAAATAGAAATTGTATTCACTGAGTTATCTTCAGAGCCTGGAAGAATGCCTGGCACTCAAGAAATATTTGCTGATTGAATGCTGAAGCCCAGTTGAATATTCAATTTGCAATATAGTACATTTAAGATAACTTACTCTGTGTTCTTATTTCTGAAAGAGATAGAATATTAAGTACTTTTACATAATGCCCTTGATTTCATACTTTTATATGCTCCCTCATATATCCCTTTAGTAATTTAGATTAAAAGCAGTATAGGTGCTGCTTGTGAGACAATGGCATAGCCCCTGTTTACTTTCCAAGGAACTATACCACGTAAAATACTAAGTATTTCGAACTACTCCTTGAATCGCTTACCTGTAAGTGAATCCAGAAACAAAACATATGAAAAGGTAGAGAAAAAAAGTAATTCATATATGCTTCAGTTAAAGAAAACTTTATTACTCACTGCCTACTAAGCTGGCAAGAGATGAATCAAGATCACTCCCAAGAGCTTTGCTGGCAGCCATTGCTGGACTGGGTGGTACCATTGAGACAGGAGCAGGCTGTCCAGTTGGTGCCATAGTTGGCATCAGAAGATCACCTAGACCATCAAACACTGGAAATCAAACAGACCAGGTTCAGAATAAATGTTAATATATGCAAAATTGGAGTGAAATTGACTTTTGAAAAACCATGAAAATAAGTCAATACATAAGCTTACGAAAGAAAGCATGTAACTCACACTTTTTGTGACTATAACACCAAGAAGAACATATCTACTATGTCTACTCATAAAGTATGGAAATACTAATGAATGTGATCAAAGATGGAAAAAAAAATTACATAATGTACAGAAAAGAGCAGACTTTGCATTCAGAATTGGGCTCCGAATCAGCAGCAGGCCTAACTAGCTATGTGTTTTTGAAAAAAATCACTCTGAGAGTTTTAGTTTCCTCTTTTGTAAATGGAGAGAATACCACTAATACACAGCCTTGTTGTAAAGATTCAAATAGATGTGCCACGTGCTTTTGCGAGAGCTTCAAAAAGTCCATGGAAAAATGGATTTACGTACATGTCTATTTTGGTACAAAAAGTTTAATCCATGCATGCTATATTCACACACATTTTTCCTTAACCATTTGAAGACCCCTTGTATTATAATGCTTGATTTTATAGAGGCATTATGCAGTGGTAGCCATTGTTACTCTTATGAAAAAGTCATTAAAACATTCCTAATTCAAAATAGTAGTGATTTATAACAAAGCCCAAATGATTAGAATCTAGAAAGATGCTTACTTTTAAAAAATCTGTAAGTGAGAAGAGATGATCTAATCTGCTAGCTTTCTATGAAATTAGTGATCTAATAGTTGGCACCTAATAATAAGTATCTGAAAGACAGGTTATCATATCTTAAACCAACAATTTCCAACCTCTCATAACATCAATCACTCCTAGTTCTAGCTTTAAGGGAATATTTAAATTGAACAGTATTTAAAGTATTAGCAATCAATTGCCATCATAGATGGTTTCTGATCACCATATGAGAAATCACCACTGTTCAGTTCCTAGAACACAGAAAGACCATTCAAAATACAGATGCATAGTATTTGCATAAGATATTGCTAATACCTTATCTATGTCAAAATTTTTGTAGTTGTTAAATTTCATCAAAAAACGATGTCCATCTACCATAACACTACTGTACAATCATTCTAAAGTGAAAACAGAAAGCATTCAACTAGGCACTGGCAATAGAAGCAACCAAATTGTCAGGCAGGGGATATATTTAGGGTGTTTCTGAAACACATTTCATCGCCAAAAACTCACCAATTGATAATTTGTAGTAAGGACCCAGCATGGGAAGAGTAGAATGGAAGAGAATACAAACAAAATGACAGCAGTGATGAAAGGTTAAAGGCAGGCAAAGAATACTGTTTGTGTCTCAAGTTCGTAAGACTGAGGGCCATGCAAGCTTCAGAGGGTGTAAGCAACAGCAGTGAGTGTCCATACATTCAGATACTGTACGGAGATTTAGTACAAAGAACTTGTTTTCCCTTCATTATCTCTAAATCATGTGCATGTAAGCTCATGCAAACAGATAGGGTGTGTGTTAAGTTAGATTTCTGCTAAAAATCAAAAACAGAAACACAGAAAGAATCGCAGGTTACTCTTAAAGCTACCAAACTGTACCAGAAACTTTTATTTAAGTTACAAAATGACAGAATTATTGAAGTTTTATTCTATTTTATATTTTTATTAATTTTTTAAGACAAGGTCTTGCCATGTTATGAGCCTCCTGCCTCAACCTCCCAGTTCAGACTATCGGTGGGTGCCACTACTCCCAGCTCTTTTTCAGACAGGGTCTCGCTATGTTGTTCAGGGCAGCCTTGAACTCATCCTTCTGCTTCAATCTCCCTGAGGCACTGAGATTATAAGTACATGCCACTGCAGTTGGCCTTTAGGTTGGGTTGAAAATTGAACCCAGTACTCCCAGGCTGGGAGAACACGGTCCCAGGCTACAGAGCACAGTGGTGTCTCAACACTCATTGCCACAGCTGGGCCAGATTTACTGACGTTTTAAAATCAGGTTGTCCACTCAATATTAGCGTGTTGAAAATTTTCTGACAACATGCTAGCCTGAGGTGGTATATTTATTATCAGAATAAATGAAAAGCATGTTTGACAAATCACTGCCTCACCTGATGGATCAAAGGAGCTGCTGCTAGAAGTTGAAGGCGTTGTTCCAAAGGCTGCCTCGAAATTGGGCTGTAGCAGATTATTCTGAGCTGGAGTCACTGGTGATGGAGAAGGGGCCATGAAAGAACCCCCAAATCCTGCATAATTAAAAAAAAGAAAAGTTTCAGAAAAATGTAAGCAGAAACTACTCAAAGTGTGTAAAGGCCATTAAAAAAAAAAAAAAACAGAGTCAAAAAAAAGTCATAAGAAACCAAAAAGGAATTGAGTACATGTAGAATAGCTGTCACTGAAATGAGGAGAATTTGGCTTGTAAAAATTAGTATCTTGATACCCATTATGTATTAGTGAGATTTAGTTAGAAATAAGCGAGGACACCAAAATATATACTCTTATTATGGGAACCTGTGGCAACCAAATCTATTCTTACAATGGAGTATATAAAGCAAAAAAATATCACTAGGGTTAAAATTCAGATAATTACTTTCATCACACTATAATTTTGTTTCTTGAAATCACAATGTCAGGTATCCAGAGAATGTTTAGCTACAAACATTGGCTTGGTATTATAATAAAACACAAATCAGAAAAATACATGTCAAATCCTCCTTGGGGCCCTTCACAACACACTGCAACCTCACTGCTGTACTGCCAAATGCAGGTTTCCCGAACCCTGCTCCCAGGATTATAAATGACCACCCAGAGGGGCATCCTTTCTCTAGCCTGGACCTCCTACAACCTGGTATCTCTCTACAGTGTCGTCAGAGTGATATTCTGAGTGGAAAACATATCTCTATGTGGCTTTCCATCACTTTCAGATTCACATATTACAAATTCCTTTAAATAGAAGTCAGGCTCTCCATCTCTGTCTACTGGCCCCTTTGCCATCCCTGCAAACTAGGCTGTGGCCATAATTTATCACTCGGCATCAGATACCTGCCCTGGAAGGACGTCCTTGCCCCCAATGGCTACTCACTGTTGCCAGCTGCAACCCTCACCCACACTCCCACAGAAACACAAGTGTTCTCGCCATCTGGTCCCTCACTCTGTCTTACTCCCATCATACATCCTCATCACCTGCCCCACATCCCAACCATGGGGATGGCTTTTCGGGTCAGGATCTGCGTCTTTTTGTCTTTTGTACTAATATTCAACATAGTGCCTAGAACATTTCATTAATATTTATTAAATGAAGGACACTTTGGGGGCAGCCCTGTGGAACTAGATCACACCTGGCCAACTTCCCAGTTTGAATCCCAGTCCCAGTGGCTTGAAAAATATGCTGGGCATGAGTGCATGTGTGCCCCAAATCCTGATAAGATGGAGAGATGAAGGAAAAGGGATTGTGGAATGAATATGGCCCAGGGGGAGGGGGCTTTTCCCCTCTCTCTCTGTCTCTGGCAAGCACACTTGACCTCTGGAAAATTAAAAAACAAAAATCTGGGTGGCTATCCAGTCAAATATTGAGTGGATAACCTGATTTAAAAACGTCAATAAATCTGGTCCAGTGTGGCGATGTGTTGTGAAATCACTGTGCTCTGCCGGCTGGGACCATATGGGAGTACTGGGTTCAATTCCCGATTGAACCCAATACTGGTATGTGCCAGCCACAGTGGCATGGACCTATAATCCTAGTGACTCAGGGAGGCTGAAGCAGAGAGATGAAGGACTTTTAAATATAAAAGGTGAGTAGAAATTAACTGTAAACAAACCTCAAATTAAATATCATTTTAAGGCTGGAAGCAAATAATTTCTCTCAATCAAGAGAAACAGAAGCAGAGATCTCTCTGTACTACTTTGTACAAAAATAAGTCACTTGTGATAAAAGCAATTTCTTAGTAAGACACTAATTGATTTTATGTGCCCACATGAGTATTTGAGTATCTTATGTGCCCATTTGAGTATGTATTTTTTTACATCTATCAATATTGTCTCTCTTTCACAAACTGCTTATAAAAGCATAAATATTTCAAAAACATCACGAAGCTTACATTCAATAAAACCAGTTTATAATTTTTTTGAGAGGTTTTCGCATAGGGCGCATGTGTTCACCAGAAAGAGAGAGACAGACAGAAGGCAAGAAATCACCTCTCCTCCTCAGGATGGGATGGCCATGCTATAATCCCTTCTCCTTCATTCTCCTCTTGGGATCTTGGGCATGTACGCACATGTGCCCAGCATGAGTTTAAGCCACCGGGTCCAGGACTCGAACTGCAGTCAGCTACATGGGAGTCCGGTGACATAGCCATTACGCTAACTGCTGGTCCCAAACCAGTTTATAATTTTGAAAATGACTTCCTCTATAACCCTCTAGTTACTACTTTCTAAAGCAGGTGTCAACACTGTTTAAGTCATGCTGTTTCTGAAAATTGACAATGACAGGTTTAGGCTCTCCTTGAGCGTGTATGAAAAATATCACAATGTGGAAAAAATGGGTACTTGCTAGAAGATGGTCTTTAAAGTTCATGGCAGCTACTTCAAGTGATTTTTATTTGAATGATTTCCTTTACTGAAGTAAAGACATACTCCAGCTCAGTAAGAACTAATATTTAAAAGCAAAAATGGGCTGAAAGTAATTATTTTTGTAGATACGATCATTTCGGTTTTAGGAAAATTGGTGGTTGTGATAATTATATATTTTTAAAAACTATTATCCCACACCTCAAGTAGGAATATGGCTGTGGTAGATTTAGGCAATTGTTTTGTGGCATAACTCTCTTTGCAAAAGGGGAAATGGAGACAACGGCGCTTGACTCGGCTTCTTAAAACTTGGCCAAGGCAAGTATATTTTGAACTTTCCTAGACTCATAGCATATTAGTGTTAGAAAGTGTTATAGAATCATCTGAGGCAATGGCTAGACGTTACTCAAAAAGAAGTGAAGACAGTAGAAAGAAGAAAGGTTACATTCATCCAGGTCTCTCTGCTTAGTGCTATCAGGTTTCACTTTACCATGGGGTCACATCCATTAGTGAATAAATAACACTGTTCACGGAGGAAAAAACAATATAGTGCCTTCTTTAAGAAAGTGCTTGGTAAACCCACACTAGCATAGGCTCTCTACGTGCCAGACTCTCTTCTGTGTATTCTTTTTCAGGCTGAACCACAAGAATATTTGACTGTGAAGACATGCATTAGCACATTTGATCCTTACAACGACCCTAAGAGGTTCAAAAGAGGGAAAAACACAAGGTCAGAGAGGCCCAAGGTAACCTGAGGGCAAATGGCAAGTTCCCCACAATAATCTTCTAGTGCCTGAGCTCTTCACAGCCTGCCGGCCCCTTTACCACTTCCAAGAATCACACTACAGTGGTATCCTTTAAACACATTTACGAATTTGAGAGATCTAGCAGAATGACCTTTCTCTTATGAAGCAGGTACTCTTTCAAAATTAGAATAACAGCTATTAAACACTGATGTAAAATGATCAACTGAGTATCTTGAAGAAAAAAATCAACTGCTGCATTCTAAATGAAGAACTAAACAGGAAAATCATTAATGAAGAGTTTGGGAAACTACTGTTAGGTGACTGAAAAGTTTTAGAGCTCTGGAATAGAGGTAATAGGAAAACCTAAACTATTCATCTATTTATATGATTTTAAGTTATATTTAAAAAGACATTCTCTGGACTGGAATCATAAATATGGTGATGATCAGTAGGTGTCTGGATGTTCCAAAGGCATAGTTAATGCCTATAACTGAATAGCCAACTATCTCCAGGTGTTCACCACCTGAATGTGTAGACATACTGCCTTTTATCACAGATGAGTAGTCTTATGACTCTGTCTAAAAGGAAACAACCTATGCACTTAACAAAGTTCTGTTGATACAAATAATATTAAATCATACTGTCAGAGTCTATATTTCTCTCAACACTCACATTTATTCCATTATGCTAAAGATGTCATTTTAATTATTCTCAGTGGTATGGTTTTTCAAATAATTTTTAAAACATTGCTATAGGGCATGTGTATTCACCAGAGAGAGACAAAGGGAGAGAGAGAGAAAGTGAGAAAGCATCGGGATGGGGGGAGGTGGGGGGAGTTGGTCATGCCTTAATCTCTTCTCCTCCATTTTCCTCCCAGGATTTTGGGCACACATGTACACATGTCTGGCATGTTTTTTAAGCCACTGGGTCCAGGACTCAAACTACGCAGTTGGCCATGTTGGATACAGCTGTCTTAACCACCACGCCACCAGCTGGCCCACAACCAATTTTTAAAATACAGTCTACTTACTAAGATCTGAAATAGTCAATATTTCTAAATTGCAGTCTCAGGATCTTGCATCTGACATTTTTCACATCGCATATGGGATGACGGAATTAATTAGACCCTCTGTAGACCCTCCCATTTAGTGACAGTTCTTAGTTTGTAATTCCATACTGAACATTTTCATATTTTAAAGTCAGTTCATAGCCTTCTGTGGCTCTGCTAAAGAGTCATCTGTGTAATGAGGTCAAGAGAACAAACATAAACTTCAAAGGGTCACGTAGGCTGGCGCATATGGTTTCCGATTGTTGGGACGAAGACCGGCTGTGGCATATTCCTACACAAGTGCAGATGTTTGGTGCCGTCACTCCAGCACGGAACTGGTCACAGAAAACCACAATTATCCTGTTTGGCGTCAGCCTCGGAATTTCTCATGTCCTTCAACACACCTAATTTCTTGTAATGATCGATTTTTCCCTTGGTCATCTTGAAGTCTGTCTATATCTTTTAAACATCTATTGTTTCAGTAGTTATACCTTGAGCACCACTTGATATCCTTACTCCTCACTGTAAAATACTTTTATTTGTTACAAAATTAACTCTCAAGTTTTTAGACAGAATACATCTGTCATATGGATAAATACCTGCATCCTAACATTAATCTCAATGAATGGCTTGGACAAATTTATTCTTTATTGGTGTAGATTTCTTTATCTTTCTTTTCTTTCCATTTTTTTTTTTAAAGTGAAGATTATTCCTTTCATCTGTCCTCATGGGCAACAACAGTTTCCTTCTGCAGAATCTTCTCTCACTTCATTATACTGGGTGGACCAAAAAAAATTGAAGAATTTCCTCAGGGGATAGGAGAAGACTAAGAAGATGATGTTTCACACACAGTTCAATTCTGGAATTGATATTATCTGACAGTTCTGAACTAAATTTGAATCAAGAAGAATAATCTTTTTTTTTTCATGATAGATATGCCTATTTTAAAAAAACATCTATCAGAAGATGCATATACTTGCCGGAGAGCGACAGAGGAGAAAGAGAAAGTACCCTCGCTATGGGCAATGGCTACACAGAATACCTTCTACTCCGTTTCTCTTTTCCGTGAAGGTTTTGGGCACACATGTACCTGGCATGATCTTCAAGCCACCAGAGCTGAGATTTGAACTGCAATCAGCAGATAAGATCTGGCTGCCTTAACCACTAGGCTATGGTGGGAGCCCAATATGTCTTTTTAAGAGACTCTCCATTTAGTTTCTGTTTTCTAGTTTTAAAATACATTACCAATTCTTCATAAAGCTTTATCCCCAATTTTAAGATGATTCTGAATTTTTGGTTTAGAAGCTCTAAAAATAATTTAAACATTTAACTACACTATATATTTATTGCCATCTCATTATTTACATGTAAATATATTACCTCAAAAAGGACAATTTAATCTTATTCAGGTGTTGGAGAAGGGGGATTAATAGGCCAATGGCCAAATCACCTTTGGATAGTCTAAACCTCCCATAGTGGTGTCTGCATATTATTTTTTTCTTTTTTTATTACTACCAGCCAATAATACAAGATTCTAGATAATCTTTCATAAAATGTAAATCTCTCTAGCTCTCCTTTTTGAGGTAGGGGGGGTGTTCTAATTCCTACTTTGAAACTGATCACATTTATGAGCTTGTGATCCGTGCTTAGGGTAACTTATTTATTAATTTATGAAATGTTCCTTTTTGTTTCAATACACTGATCTTAGCTACTCCCTCCCCACATAAACAAAGACACAAAGGCTGAACTTCACTAAAAGTTGCCATAATACATGGGGCTAGCAGATGGTGTAATGGTAACATTGCTGGATTTCCATGTAGTCGACTGTGGTTTGAGTCCTAGACCTGGTGACGTATAACTCATGCCAAGTATGTGTGTGTGTGTGTGTGTGCGTGGCCAAAATCCCAAGAGGAAAATGGAGGAGAGGGGATTGCTGCATTGCCACCCCCCACCCCCGGAGGTGATGGTGATTTCCCCACTTTCTGTCTCTCCAGTGAGTGTATATGCCCAATAGCAAAAATCTCTCTCTAATATATATATATATATATAAAACCATAACACAGTGCCCCAAATATTTGTTCTACTTGATATGCATTAAGCAAAAATATATGGGTAATGGGAAAACTCAGAGATGGCCAATACAAGTTAGATTACATACAGAAATATAACTTCTACTTTATATTCCATTGGTTGTCAGGAAAGTCATGATACATTTTTGCACAGGAAATCAGTCAAATACATCATGACTTTCCCAACAACCTAATATATATTAGGAAGGTCTGAGTTTAATTTTTTTTTTTTTTGCTAGGAAGTTAGTTCCTAGTTTGCAGAACAGAATTCTGTTAACATTGCATGGTTGTTTAATGAAAACATAACTTCCTGATGCTTTGGTACTTGGACAAGAAGGAATGCTTTTCTAAAGGCAAAACAGAGGGGAAGTATGAAAAACTGGCTCATGGACAGCAGATGGCACAATGGTTATATAGCTGGACTCCCACATGGCCAACTGTGGTTCAAGTCCTGGACCCAGTGACTTGAAAATTATGCTGGGAACATGTACATGGGTGCTCAAGACCCTCGGAGGAGAATGGAGGAGAAGGGACTGCCTTCTGGCAGTGTGGTCATCTCTTCTGGGAGGTGATTTCTCGTTTTCACTTTCCCTATCACTGTTTCCCTCTTTCTCTCTCTCTCTCTGTGTCTCTCTCTCTCTCTTTCTCCCCAGCAAGAGCACATGCCCTAAGGCCAAAACCTCTTAAAAAAGAAAAAAAGAAGGCTCAAAAAGTTAAGAGCTACAGAAATGAAAGATAATTGAAAACTTCTTACATCAGGATATAAGGTAAGAGTTGGCCTCATGCCAAGTGAACAAGACACTCACATACATGTAAACTAGATTGTGAGAATTGTTTTGAAAGAAAAGTAGACATTAAAACCCATATGCATCTACCTGTATTGTGTATTAATTTATTTAAATAGAAAAAAGAGCAGAAGTAAGTATACATAATATACAACCTCATTACTAGTGAGTCACAACAGGTGCTGGAAGAAATGGGAGTGCATAGTACAAAAAGCCTGTGTAAATGGCATTGTTACTTCATCACTGATCATCTCTTCTTTTCTACCCATACTAATTAAGATGTAAGAATGAACTATTCAAATGAATAATTTAAGCTTACTTGTGGTGAAGTAACCTGACTTGAATTTTTTTGAGAGATTTTTTGCTATGAGACAGAGGGATAGAAAGCTAGAAATCACCCTTCAGGGGGAGATGGCCATGCCACAACCCCTTCTCCTCCATTCTCCTCTTGGAATCTTAGGGCACACACGCACATGCACCTGACATGAGTTTCAAGCTGCCGGGTCTAGGACTCAAACCATCGTCAGCCATGTAAAAGTGCAGCACTTTATCCACTGCCACCTGCTGGCCCCCTGACTTATACTTTTTTGTACACTTTCCTGCTAGACCTAACCATACACCACGCTGTGCAATTGAAGTTCTTTTATACGTGGCAGTTGGTGACAAAAGCCTTCCTGCTCATTCCAGATGTTTTAGGTCCTCCCTCATGCTATTAGATGGAATCTCTTGGCTCTCTCACTGAAGTCAGACTTGGAACTGGATAGGAATGTTTCCTTTTCCTATGGGCTTTGACTAGTCTCTCTGCATCTGTTCCTAGTGTCCCAGGCTCCTTAGGAAACACGATACTCAGGTTCTAGTCCTGAAGGGCCCTGTGAGTTCACAGTGGATTGAAGCAACTGAAGCAGACAATGTAGCTAGACAGCACTAGAAATGGCCAGCTCTTGCCATCTAGCCTTCAAACCCCACTCTAGAAACTGTGGCAGGGAAGGAATACTCATGAGACAAGGAAAGACTTCACAAAACTCTACAAAAAGCAGGAATATTTTATTTTATATGACTTTTCTACCTTAATTATAACTTCAAAGCAAAAGGTTTGAAGGTTTCAGTAATCTCATTTTAAAATGAACAAGGTCATGGTTTCCCAAAGAACCATTTAAAACTATGCTATTTCTGTGGCCTATAAAAAGTAATTCCTAAACCTTGAGCATCTGAATTAAACTTACTGATTGGGTAAAAAAGAACCTTTTAAAAGTTTCTATGGTAAATTTGAAGCTGCTTTGCGAATATCTAGCCCAGAAGAAAAGCCAGCTGAACTCCTAGAAGATTTTATTTGTGTGTGTGAGAGAGAGAGCGAGAGCGAGAGCGAGAGAGAAAGAGAGAGAGAAATATGTGCACTTGCCAGAGAGAGATGGAGAGAGGGAAAGTGAGAAATCACTTCCCGGGGGGATGGCCATACTGCAATCCCTTCTCCTCCATTCTCTCAGGACTTTGGGCACACACAACGGGTATGATTTTTAAGCCACCGGGTCAGGAACTCAAATGGCAGTCTAGCACCTTAATCACCATGCCACCTGTTGAACCCATATACAACTGTGATTTTAAGACTAGTTAAATCCCAGGAAATGATTACCCTTCTACTACCCCAAGCCTTGCTTACAAGGCTTGAAGGTCTTGAAGGGAAAAAAAACAAACCCTGCAACTTACATGATGATTGTTACTTATAAAAATATATCCAAACTTAACTCATATAAAATACTGCTTTATTTTAATGTAATAAATTACCAGCTAGTAGGTCTGCCGATGCTGATGAACTAGAAGCAGCCTGAGGTGCGGGTTGAGGCTCAGAAGCACTACTTCCAAATGCATCTATCCATTATCCAGAATGCAGCGAAAAAGTAAGAGAGTATAAACAGTAAGAAGAGCAAGTAATTTACGTGGTATGCAAAGAAATGCATGGGCATGACATTCTGTATGATGAGTTTATTTCCCATGGGTATGTGAAATGACTGAGTGAACTAAATTATGTGCTGATCAGTGTATTCACTCAAAAATAGTTCAGAATATTTAAGAACCAATTCCTCTTGGTAAGAATTAGAAAATCCATTGCTGTTTGGTTTTTATTTATTTTTTTAAGAATACAACTTTCAGGGGCTGGCAGGTGGCGTGGTGGTTAAGGGTGCTGGACTCCCACATGGTCGACCACAGTTCGAGTCCTGGACCTGGCAGCTTGCTTTCTCACTTTCCTTCTCTCTCTCACACTCTTACTCTCTGTGTCCCTCTCTGATCAAATGAAAATAAATAATAAATAAATCATTTTAAAAAACAAGAATAGGGACCCAGCAGTTAGCGTAATGGCTATGTCACTGGACTCCCACGTAGTCGACCGCGGTTCGTGTCCCGGACCCGGTGGCTTAAAACTCATGCCGGGCGCGTGTGCGTGTGTGCCCAAGATCCCGAGAGGAGGATGGAGGAGAAGGGATTGCGGCGTGACCATCCCCCCTGGGGGGTGATTTCGCGCTTTCTGTCTCTATGTCTTTCTCTGTCTGTCTGGCGAGCACACGCGCCCTACAGTGAAAATCTCTCTCAAAAAAAAAAAGACAACTTTTAGATTAAATCCTATCATCAAAAGAGGATCTCTAGATTTCTAAAAATGTCTTCCAAGAAGCAATAAGATAGGATTTTATAATTTAGAATGTTAAACTCTTAAAAAAATTAATAAACTTAAAAAAAAATAAACTTAATTTGAGCAGCAGAGCCTTCCTTGTACCTGTACATCCAGGTCTAGTTTCATTTGACACATTTTGAGCCCCTGCGTGTCATAGACTGTGACATCTTTGTACCCCTATGTACCAATCATGGCCTATAGAAGTATGCTTCAGTGGACAGTAGGTGTTCAATGCGGGCTGAACTTTTAAGGGTAGTATTTCAGCCCAAAGCCCATATACACTTATGTGTATCCATGAAGATATCATTTCAGATCTTTTTTCCTATAAATTTATTGCTAACAGAAGGCTTTAGATATATCATATAAATGAGCAGTCAAGAGTTAATTTAGTGTATCTTCCTGTCTTTGGATAACATGCAAAAAGAAGAGGAGAATATATTTAGATTAGGAGAAAAACATTTTCCAATCATTCCAGTTACCTAGAGAATGCAAAAACATTAAACTCAACATAAACTCCATAGACTAGCACATGCTATCTATTAAAAGAACTTATGCTTTCAATTTTGAAAGGACTCATTCTTTTCGATTCTGAATTATCTAATCTACTTTTACATTTTTGATTTAGCCAACAGATCAGGATCATCAAGGAAGGAAAGCAGAGGATATTCCAATCAGGTGACTCTGTATTAGGATGAAGATAGAGTTGACAACATAAGACTTCAAATGAAAAATGATCTGGTTTTATTAGGCCAGGCACTAAAAATTAGGATGAACTGAAAAGAATGAAGATGATGATGATGGTGGCAAAGAAAAGATATTAGAAATTTAAGTTTACATTCAGAGATGGAATTAATTTCACATAGACAAAAGAAAAAATGATGAAATATAATGGAAAAGATATCAAATCTGTTCTTAAGGAAAAAAAAGATTCCTTAGGTATTAAAGGAGGAGAATACGCACCCCCAAAAAGGTCTATCACACCTGAAGAATCCACCTTCGCTGGCGAGGCAGTGTTTGCAGGAGATGGTGCAGCAAATGCATCCACTGCAGTGAAGCACAGAACAGGAAGAAGGGCATATCACCCCAAGAAAAATGAAATCATGAGCCTTGACAAATGGCATCTTGAGATTTCATGGTTAACTCCAGGCAGGAAGACTGTAGGCAATCTTAACAGTTAAGGAAAAGCAAATGGATTTTCAAATACTCTTTACCTAGAGCAAAGTAAAGTTCGATTATCCCTAGAGCAAAGTAAAGTTCGATTGGTCAGGTCAGGAGTTTTAGTATGAATTTTTTTTTAGATTTGGGATGCCAACCCTAATCAACTGGTGATGGGCCAAAACCCGAGTGTTTTTGTTTTTGAAAATAAAATTTGAGTTTAAAAGAACTCAAGACAAGTTGCATGTTGTTGTATCCACCTGTCCAGCATGACCCCCATGAAGCATCTGAAGGCATGACCTTGACGGAGCACTCACCGGATAAGAGGTCAGCAGTGAGAGAACTCTCAGGCACAGGAGAGGCCCCTTGTGGTGGAGAGGAGAAAGCATCTTCCAAAAGTGAAACAAACCAAAACCAAGCAGAAGTAAGTAGTAGAAAGCTGAAATCAAAGTAAAAAATCTAACAAATGCATTATCACAGGTGATTACAAAGAGCTTCATCGTGGAAACTTCTAGGAGAACTAAAATTGACAAAACAGAAGGGTTGCTTTGGTTTTACCTGTACCAAACAGGTCTATGCTAGGAGCAGCCTCTGGCTTAGGCGCCGCAGCGACTTCCGGAGCAGCCTCAAACAAATCTAAGACCAAGAACACACATGCCTTTACTTGACATGAAAAACAAGCCTAATACAGCATCGCATCTCAGTTCTGAGTTAGCACTTTGCAGAATTCTGAACTGAGCAGCAAATGGTTTCTAGAGAACCATTTAGTCCCACGGTATTCATGCAGTAATAGTTGCGTATGCAACGACATTCAAGGATTGGAATTCAATCCATCAGATGGAAAGAGTTCAACAACAACAAAAAATTACCACCAAAGATATCTAGAGCAGGAGGAGCGGTGGTGGTGGTGGCGGCAGAGGTGGTGGTAGAGGTGGTGGTGGTGGCGGCGGCAGCGGTAGTGGCAGCAGTGGCAGCTGACACGGCAGGAGCAGGAGAAGGAGCAGTTGCGGGAACCGGAGGGGCTGTGCTAGCTGTAGGGGTAACTACAGGAACACTGGTCTCAGGTGGCTTCATGGCAAAGAGGTCCAGCTCAGGCGCAGCCTCTGCACTACCTTCGGACGGGGCAAAGGGGTCTTTTGGAAAGGAAAGTGGAGACACATACAGCATCAGTAAGGAGAGAGACCAGCGAGAGCGTCATAACTATGGGTGAGAGACACCTGACACAGATATTTACACACTAGCTAGGTATTAGCTGCTTGGATCTAACTACTATCCTATTAGGGGTCAGTGATTAGGATGTTTTTCAAAAGGAAAGGAAAATTTAGTAGGTACCACAAGTTAAGAAACTGAAACACTTTGTATCATGCTGTAAGATCAGTCTAGGATCAGAGATCATTATCCTTCAAATCCTTACTTTGGCTTGTCAATTTGGTAGCTTTGAACATTCATTAACACATGCTGATACATTTGAATTCAGTGTTACAGAAGAGTACAAAATAGCATTAGAGAACAAAAAGAAAAAAAAAACATTAAGAGAGCATACTTGTACTGACAAAAATTGTCAATCTTGAGAAATTGTCAATTTTGATTAAGTATGCACTTCATTGTCTTAATGTTTTAAGTGCTGGCATTAGTTATTCATTTATGATGAATGGTTCTTTACACTCAGAAGACAACGAAGTTAGAAAAACATATGGCCACATCTAACTATGGGGGTTTCACGTTAGGACAGAAAAGTAACAGACTGGCTCAGGACTTTAAACCCACCATTTCCTGAACATGCATCAAGTGCTGCTGCTACAGGGGCTGGGGGAGCTGGTGCGGCGGCCCCCTCGGCTGCTGCAGGGGCCTCCCCAGGAGAAGCTGCAAAGGCATCTTGGGTGCGGTTTTTAAAACAACAGAAATTAAAGGAATAAAAAGAGAAGAAATATAGTAAAAGAACGAAGTTAAATTGTGAAGAAAGCTCCCTTATACAACATGAATTTTTAAAAATGCATTTGTATGGCCCATGCACTGTTGGCGGTCACGAAACAACTACTATGCGCACCTTGATGGAGGTAACATGCAGGGGGGTGGCGCTGGTGACACTGCTCAGGCCTGCTAGGACCCACGGGGGACAAGACTCTCATTGTATAAGGGCTCTGAGAAGCATGTTTTATGTATCATTAGAAATTAATGGATGTGAAAATTAACAGCACAAATATAATTTTATTATGTAACTTAAGACATTAAACTTTCATGTCCAGGTAATTCTTATTCACTGTGTTGTTATAATGTCTCTCACTAGTAGCTTCTAGCAAATACTAACATCTTCTGTAATGCCAACAAAATTAAATGTATGATTGCAATGTAAGTGAATGATTCTAGTTTTAAAACATTTTATGATCTAATACAGGCTAAAATATACTGTTAACATAAAAGATTTACGAAGTAAGCACAAATGTTAGGTCTTTATTATCCTTTAAAAGCGTTCTCAAATATAACCAAGGATTTGTTTTAAAGAAATAAAGAGATAACAAAATTATGGGGTGATACCATAATGTATTTATTGCGACTTCCATTTGCTATGTGGAAACAGTATTATACTTTTCTAGTAATTTGGAAATGATTTATTTTCAACAGATTGAAAAGACATTTTCCAGACTACCAGTGTATTATTATTTACAATAGAAAACCATGAATATCAATACATGTGCAGGCAGCCTCAGTTTATAAATGCCCAATTTGTAAATGACTGATGTGTGCAAATGGTTCCTAATGCCGTTCTAACAAGAAGCCATGTTAACGACACTGAACAGTTCCAGAGCTTTTGCAGAGAGACTTTGCAGTGTCAAAAGTGCAGAGGATATCAAGCCATCATAAAGACAGGCTTAGGACAAGAAACTCCTGAGGAGCGAGGATCAGCATCCACAAAGAACCTGCCACTTACCTGCTCTTGCCAAAAACTGTCCTCCACAATATGGCATTCCCTAGAACACTGTTCCTCCCGCTATTAAAGTGCATTTGTTGAATATGCTTAGCCAACACTACACATGATATCCTACTTCTTGGAGACCTAGTATATTAGGCGGTAGGGAGTCCTATCATCAAGATACCTGTTTCTCAGTTTAACCTGAGTCCCAAACTGATCTGAGAATGAACCACACTTAGCAATGCCATGAAGACTGGTACTTTATGGAATAACATTACATTAGAGACTAACTTGGGTTAAATTGTTCTTTATAAAACACAAATATCCCTAAGAAAGGATAATGGGACCATAGTTATTTATATTTTATAGGTTAATTGATCTGATTGCTCCTCTCAGCCTTACTAAGAGAATATAGGTTCTATGTAGAGGTCAGGGAAGAGGCCTAATAAATAATACTACAGAGTGAAAAATAATGAAGGCCCAGGGCAGGCCTACCTCCCCAGAGGCCATGCTGAGGACACTGCATGTGAGGACTTGGGGCAACGTGAAAACCCTAAGAGTGAGGGCAGAACACAAGAAAAGTCTAAAGGAGGTTGGGAGGGTGTAAACATTTTGCCATGAGGCAGAGCTCTTTTCTTTCTTTTCATTTCCCTAAAACCTGGAGGTGAGACCAATAATATTAGAGAGTTAATAGTAATTGCAGTTATTTCTGAACATTATTACATTTAATTCCTGTAACTACCTTACGATGTAGGTTCTGTTATTCTCATTCAATAGTTAAGAGAACCAAAGCTTAAATATTTTAAGTGTTCTCACCACAAAAAATGATGAGGTAAAGCATATGTGAAAGCTCAGTTTAGCCATTCCAGAGTCTACATCTTCTATAAAATAACACATTATACATAATATATACAATTTTCATTGATCAATGAAAAATTAGCTTAAAAAGAATCCAAGGGACTCAACCGAAGTCACATAGCCAGCAAGTGGCAAAGTCAGGGTTTAGCCCACAATCTTCTGACTGAGCTTTGTGTGTTTAGCCACAATACTGCATTTTTGTGAACTGGGCTGCATTCTTCTACACTATTCTCTTCTAGGATGGCATAAAACAATTTATATTAGTGCCAGGGGTCAAAGAGATATCCATGGGCTGATATCCATATCCTCGTTAGTTGATCACTTAGGTGTGTAAATAGGTCAAACCTATTCATCACTCAGCTGTCCCCCTCCCCATATCAGGAAGACATCTTCTTTCAATGCATCTCTTGTTCTTTAAAAGCTAACATTATAAACTTAACTCATTCATTCCCATTAAAACTTTTCTTAAAGGCAGACACCTCAATTGCTCCTGCCCCAGCTGGTTGAATCTTCCCAAGCCCAGGGGAAATGGAATAGATGAGCCTCCCCAGACTCGCTCTCTAACTGTAGCCACTAAAGGGACCTTGAAGGAGAGCTGCCCCGCTGAGCCCCGTCAGCCCCCAGAACTGTGAGAGATGATAAAAATGTGATGTTGTTAAGAAACAAACCAAACTGCTTTGAACACCTACCTGTTTTCATTATCAGTGGCAGCATTAGTCCACAATGCAAACTCAGACTATTTCTACCCAGTTCTCTTTTCCTTGTTACCCATTGACAGTTCTATCTACCTTACGGCGATTTCCAGTCACTGCTACTTCCTGGAAACACACACTCCTGCTCATCTACAGCTGGGCTCAGTCCAGAACTCAGCCAGCATTTCTCTGCTGCTGACTAGCCTTTTTTTTTTTTCCCCTTCTAGGACCCTCGGAAGAATTTTCCTCCCAAACTTTTTAACACATAATTACTTTTCTCAAAACTTTCAGTAGCTGCTGTTTCCCCTAACTAACTCTCCTCATCTACTCCAGCTAATAAGCCATCCTTAATTCACAAACTCAGCACAAAAGCTCCAACTGTCCTTGGCAGCTCAAGAATCACCATTCTGGTTTCTCTCCTTCCCTGAGGTCTGATTATAAGGCACTTTCATAAAATCTGTTTGATAAAGCTGTTAGGTAAGTACTGGTTTCAAGGAAAGTTGATTGGCTTAGCTAAGGGACATGTAGGAATAGTCAGGCTTGGGAGGATTCCCAGCCCCTTTGTTTATAGGCTTACTATTATAATTGAAACAGTTGATTAAAAGGAGATCCTCTTGGGTGTGAAGAGGAATCAATATCAAATTAGTATTCTAATGCTTAGAAAATCTTGCATTGTTACAAACTAATGTTTTATTGTTAGCAAGATTTGTAGAAATGGAAAACGGGTGGCTTAAAGATTTAGTCTTCTGTTTTTATCAATAAGTTTTACTACATTTAAAAATTATAGCACTGCCTTATAATTCTGTTCTGTATGACCACAGAAAGCAGATTTTACTCCTGATTTTTAACCAGATTTTTTTATGTGAACTCCACATAAAAAAATAACAGCACTTAGTAAATGTACTATATCTGGAAAAACATCTTTAGCGACTTATATGAACTACTTACACTGAAATGACTAAAACTTTATGTAAGTATCCAATTGAATATTTCTGTTAAAAATAAAATTCACTTTCCAAATTTGTAACTGAAATATAATACTAAGATACATAAAAATTTAATGTTTTAATATTTCACATTCATGAAACTAAATAGCAATTCTTATAAAAATTAAAATTTATTCAGCTGATTTCTTTTTTTTTTAGAGAGAGGTTTTTGCTATAGGGTACGTGTGCTCACCAGATAGACAGAGAGAGACATAGAGAGAGAAAGTGAGATATCACCCCCCAGGGGGGATGGTCACACTGCAATCCCTTCTCCTCCATTCTCCTCTCGGGATCTTGGGCACACACGCACATGCGCCCGGCGTGAGTTTTAAGCCACCGGGTCCAGGACGCGAACCGTGGTCGACTAAGGGGGAGTCCAGCAACATAGCCATTACGCTTACTGCTGGTTCCCTCAGCTGATTTCTAAAGAAATCTGTTGGGTTGTTGGGAAAGTCATGATGCATTTTTGCATTTGAAAAGCAGCAAAATACGTCATGATGTTCCCAATGACCTAATACTTCATTGCTCTGCATGTTACACAGAACCTCAAAAGGCATGTTGTAAAGTTGGGGAAGCAGCATTTGGAGGCACTCTGATTGTAGAGTTCTGACACTTGCCCCTTCTAGGGAGACAAAGTATTTTTAAAATGGCCACACAAAATGGCCAAGGAGATTTTAAGTTTAAGTTTTTATTTATATTAAAATTTACAAATGATTTGTTATAAGCCAATCAGGGGCATGAAAGAAATTAGAGGAAGTAATGAAAACCACAAGACAGACACTGACATGGAAGTTCTGAACATAAAGGATGGAGATTTTACAGCTGTCAGAGTCCAGTGACTAGTTTACAAAACTGCAACAGAACAATAAAATACTCAGGATGGGACTTCAAATGAACTCATCTTTACTCATTCTCCAGCTGGATGACCAGACAGAACATGGCCAAAATCACAAACAGCACCGTTCTCTGGCACTGACTTATTGATTCTACGCAGTCCTAGTCCCAGCTTGTATTTAAAGGTATAAAGAATGTTGTTATGAAAATATTTCCCAACGTTCGGATCTTTCTGTTTGATGCGTACAGTTAAAGCAGTTACAAATAGTCAACACAAATAGCATAACAGCACAAAGACTATTTCAAAAAATGTCTTGGGCTCTACTATCTAAAGGAATAATAAGTGGAAGACAGAGCTGACTGATTTCTTAGAAACTAGAAGTCTAAACAGCTAATGATGCAGAAAAATTTTGGCACAGAATTGTTACCCATCCTGTCCATATTTCCCACATTCTTTTCAGTTTGTCTGTTAGCACAGGCCTGTGAGAAACTACCCATTATCCAATACCATTAATTAAGGGGTGGGGTATGAAAAGGAAAAGTAGTTAGTTTAGGTTCATAGACTACAACTTAAATTTTTGTCTCAAAAGATAGAAAGGCATAACTGAAAAACTAACTTTTTATAGTGGATGATTCTTTATTAAGAAATATTCAAGGGTGTACAATTCCCTCTCTCTCCTACTTTTTTTAAAAAACAGGTTTCTTCTGTGATGGGAATGACAGTGCAGAAGACAGCAGAAAATTTCTTGGGTGGAACTGGCAATAATTCTGTGTCTAGTCAAGTGCTTCTTGTCTTGAATGATGGCCAACCTCAGATGGGCTGGCATGGAGCAGAGTGGTGTGTGACAGTGTGTAAGTGTGAGTTCCCAGGGGAATCTATTAATTCCACCAGAACTGCCAAATCTCTTCTGCCCTCACCATCATTTTCTTCCTCCAATTCCTTTTCCATACTGTAAAAATCTCTGGGAAAAATGTTATATGGAAATGAAGAAACACAAAACTATAATGAATATAACACCACTGGATGTATGCATTTGATATAAGCATTTCTCTAGGTCTGGATATTAGCACTATTCAGATGGGAATATGCAAATAAACTGGATTCAGATGTTTCCTCAGGTCCAGGCATAGGATACAGGCAGATTCAAGGTTATTTTACTGGGTCAGAATTTACATTTGCATGGAAAGCATCTTTTTAGACAATACTGTCAAAGACTGACCTAAACCTGTTTTCAATCAGCATTTCAAGTGAGCTTTAGATGTTTTCTCAAAGTTCTAAAGCCAAAGATGATCCAAGTTTTTACTTGGACAGAGCAAGCATATCTCTAAAAACTTCCAAATCAGAACTACTGTTAGATGATTTCTGCTCTAAATATTAAAAATAACTTAGGCCAGGAGTGGTCCTCCATATTTTCCAAATATTCTCTTGGCTAGTTCTAATCTGATCAAAAGCTAAACCTAACTATGACTTAGAAGTCTGGGACTACTTTTATACAGATACTGCAGGGTAGAAACAGGGGTTCTGATGTCAACTTAAATCCTAACTTTAAAAAAAATGAAACTCAAATGGGTTGCAAGGACTGTAGCCTCTGCTATAAAAAGTACAATGAAGTGATTGCAAGTTGATAAATCAGGCAAAGGTGAAGATAAATAAACACTGAAAAACTATTCAAACACTTAGACATGCTGTGCTACAATGTAAAAAAAAAAAACCAAACTTCAAATGTCTTAACTCTCTGGTCATTTAGCAACCTTGAAAGGACAATGATGGGGCTGACTAACCTCCAAAGAGATCCACATCAGCAGTTACAGCAGTAACAGTTGTAGTAGTTGAGGCAGAAGCTGAAGCAGTTGCAATTTCAGCAGTTGTAGTAGGAGGGGTAGGTTCTGGTGCAAATGGGTCTGAAATCTGTGCTTCAGAGGGAACAGAAGAAAGTGCAGCCAAAGAATCTATGTTTCAGCAGGGACGGAGAGCAAATGGAAGAGAAGAGGAAAGGACAAAAGATATACCAGACTCCACATGATCACGGTGAAGACCGATACAGAAGTCTCTCACAACAGAAGTTTAAAATTAAAATTAAAGCTTTACTCACCCTCTCCCAAAAGGTCTATTGATGTCCATACATGGCAGCATATGAAGAAAGAAGAGCTAAAGCTGAAACATTCAACCATACCAATGTCCAGGCAGGGTGAGACACTAAGACATTTCAGCTTTGTGTACCTTTCCGGACCATTTGTAATTAAATATATTTTCTATTACCATGAAACTTTCAAAGAGCCTCATGGATCCTCTAGACCGAGTTTCTGATTCTGTAAGTTGGAAAATTGAGGGTAAGGGAGGGCAAGAGACTTACCTTAACTCAGGCCTAAATGACTTTGACAAACTCAACTTATTTCCTACCAGATTTATCATCTTACTTGCTTTGACTAATTTCACTGTACTATAAATGAAAAATCTGAAGAAACTGTACTAAACTGAACTCTGCTATTTCTCTGTATTTGATGTGTCACAGTAAGGAGCGCTAGGGGAAAAATGGAGGCTTTATGACAGCTGTAGTTTAGATAGTAAAATAGCCAAGAATTGAGTGCAAGTTTAGGTGTTAAGGAAAAAGGAAAAAGAAAACAAAACCATAACCTAAACCATTTTCTTCTTCATTAGTTTCCATTATCAGATGTTTTCAACACACATGTCGAGTATCCATTATCTAAATTTTTTGAGACTATAAATGTTTTTGGATTTCCACTTACCTTTTGTATTTTAGAGAATATGCATTTATATAATGAGATATATTAGAGATGGGTCCTGAGTCTAAATATAAAAATTCCTTCAAGTTTCGTATGTACTATATACAGATAGGATGAAAGCAATTTTACACAACATTTTTGTATGGCAGCATTTTGAATGTGACTTGTCCCGGGAGGTCAGAATTTTCTACTTTGTACACTATGTTGGTGCTCAAAAAGTTTTAGATTTTGGAGCATTTCAGATGTTCACATTAGAGATGCTCAAAACCTGTAATATACAATTCTGACATTTATAGTTGTCATATGAAATATACAAGGCATTATTTTTAACATGAATTTGAGAGAGATAATCAGGCATCAAAACTTTTCATTCTGAGGTCTGCGTTCTGTTGGGAGGCTCATACTTAGTGTTCAACAGTGGAATCACAGTTGTCATCCTAACTCAAAGACTTTAGGTTAAGCATTCAGAGTGCTCCATGCCATTCTTCTCTTGGTCATGTGATGTAATTTAAATTCATGAATGCCATTAAAATTTTTATTTATTCATTTACTTATTTTATTAACAAATTTATTTTTTATTAATAATAGGTTTTTATTCTCCAGCGTTCAGTATCTAGTAGATGCTTCTAATTAAATTTAAAATAACCACTGTCTTCTTGTGGCTGTTTAGAAACTCAACAAAAAATAAATAAAAATAAAATAAATCAAATAAAAAAATCAAATCTTGGTAGTAGGGATGGAGCTTTTTCTTTCTTTTTTTTTTCCTTACTATTTTCATATTAATTTCACATTTTACTTAATCATGAAGAAATTTTGCTGGAATTCATCAAGGAGCTTTCTTCTCTTTCTAGGCCCTTAAGAGTAACATGAGAACCCAGTAACCCAAAAGTTCTAGAAGACATTTTAAAAACTGAGAAACGTAAACTTGATGTTAAAAATAATCACATTCATTTAACCACACAATTTGGAAAATCAATAGATATTATGTAAAGCACTCTACAAATACTCTAAGACTCATCCAAACTAAATTTTACATACTTCATAATAATACTATTAGGTTGTGGGGAAAGTCATGATGTTATTTTTCTATGCAAAAATGTGTCATGACTTTCTAGACAACCTACCAGAAAATTATAGCACACAGTACTTGGCATTAGAAAAAGTTTTTAAATTTTAGAATGCATGCCTAACAAATAGCTAGCAAGAGGTAAAAATTAATCAATCAATCAATCAATAAGGCTGACTCTGGGTAGGATGTTTTCTGCTGTTAAGTGGCCAACCCCAAACTCACGAGAACTAGAAGAACCTTCAAGCAATTCTTTCATTCAACAGCACATGGCCCAATACAACTGTTAGCCCATAGCCACATCTTGAAAATGGTAATTAGAAACCAAAATGGGTCATCAGAAGCCAGAGAGATTTTTCTCTTCTGACATCAGTGGGGCTCTTAGTAGCCCTGCCCTCATCAGTGGCTATGTCAAGCCACAGTAAGTCTTGGCAGAAGAGCTGAGAGCCATGTGATTTAACATTTCCAGATCTGCTATTGTCTATGATGGGAAACAGGCAATTTATTTCATATATCTGGGAGAATGTATAGGAGAAGACTAGTAGAAGAAAGAAAAAGATACTTAGAAAGTTATTTTAAAATTATTAAATATCTCAAGATTAATTATGAAGTCCTTGCTCTTTACTTGTGTTTTGTTCAGATGGAGCCTGTCATGACATGACCAAAGATGGGAAGTAATCTTTTTTGGGGGGTTTCCTGAAAAAATGCACAATGATTAAGCATACTGGAAGGTAATTGATATTGGAAACATTTATCTATTCCTGGCAACCACAGGTTTTAGTCTGTAAAATATTAGTATTCTGTATAAAATGTAATTTGTTACTTATTTATTATTTTAGGCAAAATTTTCTCTACTGAAACAGACAGTCCCTGTTTTAATCTGTAGGGATCGGTTATCAAAACTATCACTTTTATAAAGCATTAAGGCACAAAGGATTTACACACAAAAAGTTACAACAGCAGAATTCGTTTCCAAGTAATACAGAAGCAAATGTTTTTTGCATTATAGAAATAGCTGGAAAATATTCATTGTAACTGAGAAAACAGAACAACTAAATTAACACAGAAATCTATATTCTGCAGTGAGATATAGCTAGACTTTCTAGGTTATAATGAAGATTAAGTGTGGTAATCAATTTGTATTTTTTTTTTTTTTTTGGAGAGGTTTTTCACTATAGGGCGCGTGTGCTCGCCAGACAGACAGAGAGAGACAGAGAGACAGAAAGCGAGAAATCAACCCCCTTCTCCTCCATTCTCCTCTTGGGATTTTGGGCACGCGCGCACACGTGCCCGGCGTGGGTTTTAAGTCACCGGGTCTGGGACGTGAACCGCGGTCGACTACGTGGGAGTCCAGTGACATAGCCATTACGCTAACTGCTGGTTCCCTGTGTGGTAATCAATTTAAAGTGTTTACACGCATCAGGACTATATCTGATGCTCAATAATAATCACTAATTATAGCAATACACAATATTTAAATCAAATATATTTTTTATTATAGTACTGTGAATTTCAAACTTCTATTAATCTCCCAATGTGTTTGTGCTTATGAGAATGAAATTCTGACTATTTTCCTACACTAAGATACTTTCTAAGTCATGCCTGCAAACGTTAATCTTGCTGTAGCGGCTGCCTTGGCCCAGTGATTGTGGGATGCTCCTTATTTCCTGGTCCTGGCATAGTGTTTTATAATACTTAGTAAAGCTTTTTTATTTTTTTAATCTTTATTTAAGTAAAACACAGGCATTTCTTTGCTGATTCTGTCTTTTAGGAACAAAGACTCGTGTTTTTAATCAACCTATAAGGGCCCCTTTCCAGCTATCTAGCCTTTCTCTACCATACCAATGCAGACTCCTTATGCTGATTTGCAACTTTGTCTGTGGCACCTGCTCTCAGAACTAAATAAAAAGAACTGCTGCATCTGTGTACCCGGAAAACATTTTTGGGTTTTCCTAGGCCTGGCTACTCAATTTCATGTTTAGAATAAACGTTTCAATTCTTTTCTATAGAGCCTGTTGACATTCATATGCAGGTATATGAAAATGACCTACAGATATGTACTCTAGATTTTATTAACAGCAAATGGTACTATGGGCCACAAAACCTATGTGTGCTAAACTAACATTTGGCAAGGAAACTATCAGAATCATATAATCAAGTGTTTCAAATGCATGTTGGTAATGAATTTCAATTCTAATAAAACCCTAGCAGTTATCCAGTATCTTTTAAGAAGTAGAAATTTCACTTCAAACATTTATTAAAAAAAAGTTTTTCCACTTCTAAAATACAACAACCACATTTTCTTATTTGTGCCTCTGAGACATAAATTTATTATGGAATAAAACAAAACAAAACAAAATACTTTCTCTACTATGGCGTCAAAGAAAGGGATATAAAAAAATTCAGTGCACTCTTTTAGTCAAATGGGTTCATCACCAGCCTTCAGAAACACCAAATCTTATATGCATAATATCAATTAAATTTACTAAAATATGAATTTGCTGAACTTGAGTTGCTTATACAAGCAGGAAAAAAAATACTATCTTGACAATATGTTCTCTGAGAGACATATTTATCAGTACCTATAACATGCAAGAGAAATGAACAGACTTCTGAAGTGGCCATGAAAACTGAAATCCTTTCACCATCATTATTGTCAGAAGACATCCTAACAGGTCTATAGAATTTTAGAGTTTGTAGTTTACTGTCTAAAATTCAAATATGCATCAGTAGCCAATGTGGCTTTATCTAATCAAGCAAGATTGTGAAACTGATTTTATTTTTGGCTTAGTCAAAAGAGCCAACACACATCTGTTAAAATTTAGCATCATCTCCAACCACCACTGGGTATCTATAAGATAAATGCAAACGGAAGGTAACTACTATTTCTCAATTTCATATTATAGAAGTTTAGTTTCTTAAGGCTAGCAATTTTTATTATTTTGCTTATATTAATAAATTGAATATTGATTAGTGTTCCCCTAAGCTGACTTTTCTATTGCCATAAAATGGTACAGTTATATTTTATTGAGTCAGAAGTGCTGTCTAAAAATCAGAAGGTGACCACTGGGCCCTAAGTCATTGCTTCTGCAGGCCTGTAAGAATCCTTTGTTCTATTATAAGAAACTTCTCCCTCTAGAGGGCAGGTTAGAAAGGAAAAGCTTGTCTTGCTCCAGGATAAAGAGAAGGCTTATAGCTTGACTAGCAAGCGGAGTTCTGGCTGGCATTCAGGCCCTACTGCCTTGCCTTGGAGCAATGCACGAACTACATATCCATACCATCTAGCCTAAAGCCATGTGTATTTTGCTTTCTTTTATATCTAGTGACATTCCAATTTTTTAATCATTAATAATTACTTATTTATAACTAGTAAATACTGATGTATATCCAATAATTTATTATAACTGATTTTTCACATGTGTCTTAGCAAAAAGTACTCAGATAAATATGAATAAAAACATTACACTGTGATTTGAAAAAAATCATCAAATTCATCTAGCTCTTTCTTCTTATTTATTGGGCTTATTTCTCATTTTTTGTTGTCAACATTTTTTAAAAAAAGTATTTAAAATTTCTCTTCAATTTCATGCCAGGGAATACAGTGAAAAGGATCAGCTTACGATTCACTACTTATTAAAGTTTTAACTAAATCACTGCTTAATAAGTTCTAAAAATTAGAAGACATGAAATACATACTGATTTAAAAGAATACTGGTTAAAGGAATTAAAGGATAAAATATTCTTATGATACAGAAAAAGCTTTTTATATAATCCCAATAATTCGCAATTAAAGTTTAAATGACAAAAGTTTTATAAAAGCTATTTACAAAAATTTTTTGGCTGAGAAAGTTTAATTTAAGGATATGGATTTGAAACATCCTTAAGTAATTAAGAAAATTTAGTATGTTGTATAAGACACTGTGGCAATGAAAATAATTAGCAAACTGAAATAAACTGTTCAAAAAAAAGAAGGTAAGAGTGAAAATATGAGCATAAGAATATCCTTTAAAAATGTGTTTAGCAATATTCAGCAATATTTTCCTTTCCCAATTGAAATGTAATAAAGTTGAAAAAAATAACTGTATCTTAAAAATTGGTAGCTGCAGCCTTAGGAGTTGAATATTTCAATATGGAGAAGGTTTAAATATTTAAAACAGAAACATGGTAACATTTAAAATGCTCATATTTATAGTTAGCAACCTCATTTCGGAACTTGTAATCTTTCGGTTATTTTTGTTCCCCAAAACTTGGAAATGAAAGGAAGAGATTACAAAACATACCTTAATGTTGCACTGACACACAGTTTAAATAGGCCACCCAAGGATTATTTAATTATTTAGAATAATATAACTTGGTCTGAATTTGCTGTTTACTGTTAATTAAGAACTCCAATTTTGAAATGATATATTAAGCTACAGACCTCTGCTAGAGATAAAAATAACTTGTCTGGGAGAAAAGATAACCTCAAGGTTATGATTTTTATTGCCCTGTAGAATCTTAATAGTTTTGTATCTAATCTAGCCATCTTATTCTACGATACCTTTTCAAATGCCTATAAATATACAATGCTTTAAAATGCTCTTTGAACCAACTTTATCATCTTACTGGTTTCATTAGTTTTCACTAAATCTTTTAGCTTTGACTATTATACAGTAATTACCTTTATATTAAAATGAAATGTCATTAATATTTATGAGGCTGATTTTTCCCAAATCTATGAATCAAGGGGGAATCAGGTGCTTAAATGGAATTCATTATAATTACTTAGATAGATATTTTCTGATAGAAAAAAAGAATCTATAATAGATTTCAATAGCATGAGGTTAAATACGGTGAATAAAACCAATTCAGGTCAGAAGGAATCTAGGAATGACCAAATTAAATTAGAAATGCTGCCTTTGACTAACTTCATACATTTACAGGAATACTCAATCCCCCAAGTCATAGACAATTTCTAGGGAACAATTACTAAAAATAATTTTAGAATAGCAAAGAAAAATACTTCTTTTTTCCAACTTTTAAAATAAAAGCTGTATGACCACTTAATCATTTTATCTGTATCATAGGTACTTTCTCTGCTCAATAAGCATCTTGATCAACAGATGCCATTCTTAACACTTTTCTTCCAAGTTTGTAACACTATTTTTCATAATCAGAAGGTAAATGTAAAAATTATAGCCCAAGTAAAAAGAACAGAGAAGCTGCAGGACTGGCTGGTTCCTCTCACCTCCCCATGCAGTGGCTCCTCCAGCAGGTGGTGGTGGGGCTGGTGCTGCGGCAGCTGCTGCTGCTCCCCCAGAGGAAAAGTCTGGCTGGAGGTCCAGGAGGTCACTGGATGGTTTAGAAGTGCTGAAACGGAAACATAACTTAAAATCAGATTTTGAAATTTTATAACGCAAAGGTCTTTTAAAATAAAGACTTATGGAGAAAACATCAAAGATTTTGGTTATCTTTTTTTTTTTTTTTTTTTTTTTAAGGTTTTTGCCATGGGGCATGTATGCTCACTGGAGAAACAGGGAGAGAAGGGAGAGGGGAAAGCAAGAAATCACTCCACAGGGGGGTAGCCATGCCACAAATCCTTTCTCCTCCATTCCCCTCTTGGGATTTTAGGCACGTACGCACACATGCTTGGCATGAGTTTCAAGCCACTGGATCAGAGATTCAAACCGTGGGAGATTCGGCTATGTGGGAGTCCAGTGCCTTAACCACTATACCACTTGCTGGCCCCAGATTTTGGTTCTCTTAAATTCAGTAAAAAGTAAGATTTCAGAAAATAAAGCAGTACCTCATATACCAAAGGCTGGCAAACTACTTTTGTAAAGGGCCTAGTGGTAAGTATAATAGGCTTTGAAGGTTAGGTAGTCTCTATCACCACTCAACTCTGCTCCTGCAGCATGAAATCAGACATGACAATACATAAACAAATCAACAGGTCTTTGTTCCAGCACAACTTTATTTACAAAACAGACCGCAGGCTGGATTTGATCAGTGGGTAGTGACCTACGGGCTAATAAAAATCATAACCTATTTTCTAAAATTTATTGTATAAAAAAATTCATGAAATTTATTTTTAAACCAAAGAACACTAAAGTGACTAATTAATCACTAATTTAACCTTTTTCCCCTAAATTAGGTTATAATATATAAAGCTGGGCTTTAAGAGGACTCATCTACTGTAAAACTGTGCATTTTTTTTTTGAGAGGTTTTCGCTATAGGGCGCATGCGCTCGCCAGACAGACAGAGACATAGAGACAGAAAGCGAGAAATCACCCCCCAGGGGGGATGGTCACGCTGCAATCTCTTCTCTTCCATTCTCCTCTTGGCATCTTGGGCACGCATGCACACACGCCCGGCGTGAGTTTTAAGCCACCGGGTCCGGGATGTGAACCGCAGTCGATTACGTGGGAGTCCAGCGACATAGCCATTACGCTAACTGCTGGTTCCCTGTTTCTGCATTTTTATTCTTACTCAATTGGAGTTGAGCTTTTCAAAACTTCCCTATCTATTGATATTCCAAAAAGTAGCCTAGAGCCTTGCTATTCAAGGTGTGCACCCCAAACTAGTATCCTGGGAACTTGTTTCAAATGCTAAATCTCAGACTTATGACTACGACATATACCTTCCTTTAAACAAGACCCCCAGGTGATTCACATGCACATTCAGACTGCAGGAGCACAGCTTAACGGTCACCAGGATGGATACCAAGCCCTCAGAGTCCCAGGTTCCCCATGCACTTTTCATAAATAGGAGTTACATCTTTATCTTCCTTACATATTCAATTTCCAAATAATATTCTTTTGAAGAAATAATCTTGTCACTTATTTAAAAAGTTTCAAACCCCTGGAAAGCACTATCAACTCTTGCTGTCCATTTCATAAATACTAGACTAAGCAACAGAAAGGAAAACATATTTATTATTATCGTCACCATCATTATTATTTTGCCATAGGGCATATGTGCTCCCTGAAGAGAGACAGAGAGAGGGAAAGTGAGAAATCATCCCTCCACCCTCCCCCGCCAGGGGGAGGGGGATCACCACACTGCAATCCCTTCTCCTCCATTCTCCTTTTGGGATTTTGGGCATGCACACACATGTGCCCAGGGTGTTTTTTTAGACCACTAGGTCCAGGACTAGAACTGCAGAGTCAGCCACGTGGGATCCAGTGCCTTAATCATGACATCACGTGTTGGCCTGAAAACATACTTATTATTAAGACCTTAAAGCTTTTATAAGAAGTTATTTACCTTAGCATGGTAGAAAAAGTGACTTAATTTTACCAAGCTCGCTATTATAAAAAAGCAGAATTATGCATGTAAAGAGTAAAGCACATAGTGAGCATGCATATATTACTTGAATTTATTGCTTAGATAAAAAATTTTAGTCTCCAAATATAGGGCATTCATAATTAGAGTCAAAGACACTACAAAATGACACTAGAATCCTGTTAAGGCAAAAGAACCAGAGTTGACCTAAAATTATTATTTGAGGGGGCGCCATGAGTTGGGGAGTCATTTAGGCACCTCTGAGATGTCACAGACGTACAATCATCCCCACCTTTCTCACCACAGTTCTGACCTTCAGGTGCTATTAAAGCTTACTATGAACATCCCAAGGCCTCTTTTGACCATGAGAGTCCAAGTTCTTCATATGCACAGCTAATTGACCTAAAAGTGCAATTTTTTTAAAGCACTTAAATTTTCCCAAAGAAAAAAATATTTAGAAAATATTTTCCATATCAGCCAATTTCAGAAGATTCTAAGGTTTGTGCATAATTCCTCCACTTCCTGTACCAAATGTGTGAGCAACAAGATGATTTCTTTTTCACTTATCTATTTATTTATTTTTGGAAAGAATTTTTGCTACAGGGCACGTGCACTTGCCAGGAAAACAGAGACAGAGAGACAAAGTGAGAAATAACTCCCCAGGAAGGATGGCCACTACACAATCCATTCTCCTCTCAGTGGGATCTTGGGCACGCATGCACACATGCCCAGGGTGAGTTTATGCCACTGGGTCCAGGACTCAAACCACGGTCGACTACATGGAAGTCCAGAACATAGCCATTACGCCAACTGCTGGTCCCTCTTTCTCATTTTTGTTCCTTTTGCTTTTTAGATTTTTGCCTTAGGGAAAGTGTACTCACCAGAGTGAGACAGAGATAGAGGGAAAGTGAGAAATCACTCTCCCTGGGGAGGATGGCCATACAATCCCTTCTCCTCCATTCTCCTCTTGGGATTTGGGCACATATACAAGCCACCTGGTCTGGGACTCAAACTGGGGAGTCGGCCATGTGGGATCTAGTGTCTGAACCACCATGCCATCTGCTGGCCCCACAAGACAATTTCTATAGCTTGCCTTTCTAATGATTTAAGAGGTATAGGTCTAAGTAATTATATAAAATAACTTATTTTGTGCAACAGAAATCCAAAATATCATGTTACTATGATTAGATTTCATTTAGTGAAATCATTTGAGAATAGTATGGAAACATTAAAACCTGATCAAAATGTTAATAAACATTTCACTGTATACTCATTATTTTGGTTCTCTTAAATTCAGTAAAAAGTAAGATTTCAGAAAATAAAGCAGTACCTCATATACCAAAGGCTGGCAAACTACTTTTGTAAAGGGCCTAGTGGTAAGTATAATAGGCTTTGAAGGTTAGGTAGTCTCTATCACCACTCAACTCTGCTCCTGCAGCATGAAATCAGACATGACAATACATAAACAAATCAACAGGTCTTTGTTCCAGCACAACTTTATTTACAAAACAGACCGCAGGCTGGATTTGATCAGTGGGTAGTGACCTACGGGCTAATAAAAATCATAACCTATTTTCTAAAATTTATTGTATAAAAAAATTCATGAAATTTATTTTTAAACCAAAGAACACTAAAGTGACTAATTAATCACTAATTTAACCTTTTTCCCCTAAATTAGGTTATAATATATAAAGCTGGGCTTTAAGAGGACTCATCTACTGTAAAACTGTGCATTTTTTTTTTGAGAGGTTTTCGCTATAGGGCGCATGCGCTCGCCAGACAGACAGAGACATAGAGACAGAAAGCGAGAAATCACCCCCCAGGGGGGATGGTCACGCTGCAATCTCTTCTCTTCCATTCTCCTCTTGGCATCTTGGGCACGCATGCACACACGCCCGGCGTGAGTTTTAAGCCACCGGGTCCGGGATGTGAACCGCAGTCGATTACGTGGGAGTCCAGCGACATAGCCATTACGCTAACTGCTGGTTCCCTGTTTCTGCATTTTTATTCTTACTCAATTGGAGTTGAGCTTTTCAAAACTTCCCTATCTATTGATATTCCAAAAAGTAGCCTAGAGCCTTGCTATTCAAGGTGTGCACCCCAAACTAGTATCCTGGGAACTTGTTTCAAATGCTAAATCTCAGACTTATGACTACGACATATACCTTCCTTTAAACAAGACCCCCAGGTGATTCACATGCACATTCAGACTGCAGGAGCACAGCTTAACGGTCACCAGGATGGATACCAAGCCCTCAGAGTCCCAGGTTCCCCATGCACTTTTCATAAATAGGAGTTACATCTTTATCTTCCTTACATATTCAATTTCCAAATAATATTCTTTTGAAGAAATAATCTTGTCACTTATTTAAAAAGTTTCAAACCCCTGGAAAGCACTATCAACTCTTGCTGTCCATTTCATAAATACTAGACTAAGCAACAGAAAGGAAAACATATTTATTATTATCGTCACCATCATTATTATTTTGCCATAGGGCATATGTGCTCCCTGAAGAGAGACAGAGAGAGGGAAAGTGAGAAATCATCCCTCCACCCTCCCCCGCCAGGGGGAGGGGGATCACCACACTGCAATCCCTTCTCCTCCATTCTCCTTTTGGGATTTTGGGCATGCACACACATGTGCCCAGGGTGTTTTTTTAGACCACTAGGTCCAGGACTAGAACTGCAGAGTCAGCCACGTGGGATCCAGTGCCTTAATCATGACATCACGTGTTGGCCTGAAAACATACTTATTATTAAGACCTTAAAGCTTTTATAAGAAGTTATTTACCTTAGCATGGTAGAAAAAGTGACTTAATTTTACCAAGCTCGCTATTATAAAAAAGCAGAATTATGCATGTAAAGAGTAAAGCACATAGTGAGCATGCATATATTACTTGAATTTATTGCTTAGATAAAAAATTTTAGTCTCCAAATATAGGGCATTCATAATTAGAGTCAAAGACACTACAAAATGACACTAGAATCCTGTTAAGGCAAAAGAACCAGAGTTGACCTAAAATTATTATTTGAGGGGGCGCCATGAGTTGGGGAGTCATTTAGGCACCTCTGAGATGTCACAGACGTACAATCATCCCCACCTTTCTCACCACAGTTCTGACCTTCAGGTGCTATTAAAGCTTACTATGAACATCCCAAGGCCTCTTTTGACCATGAGAGTCCAAGTTCTTCATATGCACAGCTAATTGACCTAAAAGTGCAATTTTTTTAAAGCACTTAAATTTTCCCAAAGAAAAAAATATTTAGAAAATATTTTCCATATCAGCCAATTTCAGAAGATTCTAAGGTTTGTGCATAATTCCTCCACTTCCTGTACCAAATGTGTGAGCAACAAGATGATTTCTTTTTCACTTATCTATTTATTTATTTTTGGAAAGAATTTTTGCTACAGGGCACGTGCACTTGCCAGGAAAACAGAGACAGAGAGACAAAGTGAGAAATAACTCCCCAGGAAGGATGGCCACTACACAATCCATTCTCCTCTCAGTGGGATCTTGGGCACGCATGCACACATGCCCAGGGTGAGTTTATGCCACTGGGTCCAGGACTCAAACCACGGTCGACTACATGGAAGTCCAGAACATAGCCATTACGCCAACTGCTGGTCCCTCTTTCTCATTTTTGTTCCTTTTGCTTTTTAGATTTTTGCCTTAGGGAAAGTGTACTCACCAGAGTGAGACAGAGATAGAGGGAAAGTGAGAAATCACTCTCCCTGGGGAGGATGGCCATACAATCCCTTCTCCTCCATTCTCCTCTTGGGATTTGGGCACATATACAAGCCACCTGGTCTGGGACTCAAACTGGGGAGTCGGCCATGTGGGATCTAGTGTCTGAACCACCATGCCATCTGCTGGCCCCACAAGACAATTTCTATAGCTTGCCTTTCTAATGATTTAAGAGGTATAGGTCTAAGTAATTATATAAAATAACTTATTTTGTGCAACAGAAATCCAAAATATCATGTTACTATGATTAGATTTCATTTAGTGAAATCATTTGAGAATAGTATGGAAACATTAAAACCTGATCAAAATGTTAATAAACATTTCACTGTATACTCATTAACTAACCTGACTGGGACAGCCGCAGATGCAGTTGCAAATAAATCAACCGGTGGGGATGTGTCAATGGTTTTAGCTGGTGTAGAATTAGGAGACGTAACAGTTGTGGCTGGAGAAGACTGAAAGTGAAGATGCACAACACACTCTAGTCAAAAATGAATCTACAGGACACAGAGTAACAGGACTTTTGCTTTACAGATCTATAACATTCTCAGCATTTTTCTTTTATTTTGCAATTCTGCATGAAAGAAAAAATTCAATAAATTTGAAATCAAGAATTGATTTCAAAATTTTCAAGCTAACTGTAATTTATGTGTTATTTTGATAAAATATTTGCCCTAACACTATAGTGACTTCTATCATATATTTAAAATAAAAATGAAATGTATTTCTTGAACATAAAATCACTGGGAAGGATCTTACTAACTGTCAAAAATTTCAAAAATTATCAGTTATAATAACTGTCACAAAACCAAGTTCATTCTTTTTTCTTCTCATCCTAAGCAGACTTCATGGGAATACTTCTCAGATGACTTTAAAAACACAGAAATGTAACTCACAAAGTAGTTGACAACTCACAAGATATAAATCACTTACAGCTTAAAGATATCATGATTATATTTCATTACTACCGATAGAACATAGATAAAACAAAAAACATGAAATAAAATCTAACATTTCTTTTTCTGGATTTTCTTAAAAGAAGAGTTAATGGTAAATTAATATACAAAAGATTACAATTTTTGTTTAGTAACTATCCAAATCCTATTTTATCTGATATTATTCTCTATGTAGTCACTATGAGAAAGACCAATGGAATATTTTAACACTGTCTACTGACACAGAGTTTTGAAACTGAAATGAGATATAACATCGAGTAAAATATTCAAAGGCCAAGACAAACCAAGAGCTATTGCTAGACATCTTATTTCAAACAGGCCAAGCTAAAAGGAAAATTTTAAAAGAATAATTTAAGGACTGAGGAGATGAGAAATTTATAGGAATTTCCCGATTTAAACAGCATTTGTTGAGTATCTTCTTGTCCAGTAGCATTAACTAGTCAAGGAGCAAATTCAATGGATATGTAAGTGCCAAGTATTCAGTATTTCAAAAAAGACAGGAGCAGTACGTCTACGGCTACTAAGAAAAATGTCAATTCCAACTTCCTTTGAACGAAAATTTAGATCTTTCAAATGAAATGCAGTGACCAACAGAACAGAAAGGTCCAACCAAACTTAATTGCATGTTATCCATTGTGGACATCGACAACTCCAGTATAAAACAAAACGAAACATTTTTTTTTCAACCAATAAATGTATGTAAGCTTAGAAAGGTGATGCTTATGATATAAAACTGAGAAGTTAATGATAACAACAAACACTACCAACACGAATACAGAAATTAAAGTCTGCAGAGACCCATTACAAGAGGCTTTGTTATAACAAACTGTAAGGAGATGTAAGAGCTAGGAAGATAGAATCCAAATAAATAATTCTGTTACTACAAAAAGAAAGTCAATACAATTTGATTTGGCCAAAACGAAGAAATGGACCATCCCAAAAGATGCCACAATGTTACCCCTCTTTACTTGGCATTAGTATGTTGGAAATATTCACATAGACATAAAGGTTTTAATCCTGGCTTCATAGAATTATCAGGGAGCTTTCTGCCTGTTTGGTTTATTTGGTTGATTATCCAAAGTGTTTGAGGGAACCTCAGGCAGGCAGCCAAGCAGGCACTGGCACGGTACACAGGAATAATATCCTTGAATGTCTGGAATGACAACTACACTGCAAGCTCGTCAGAGAGGGCAAAGCACATCCATTACAGTTTTGCCTAAGAAATACAATAGCTAATGTCACTTACAGACCTATAAAAGTAAAAACTTTTGTCATTGGTAACCCTCATCCTATTCTTCAACATGCTAAAAATGAGATAGGGAGATGAATGAATTATTAAAATGATTATAGAAGACTGTATAAAAGACATATTTGTGGGAAAAGAATGACAGTAGATTTTTCTACCATTAAACATATATTATATCATGTGTCTAAACTATCTTGTAAGGCTGTGGTCCAAAATATGTGAAAACACTTTGTGTAGCCAGTAAAACATTATACTGGTACATTTGTCTTTAGTTGTAATATAAACACATGAAAATCTCTCTGACTTTCAACATATTTAGTACAAATGGAGGACTAAATTACACTATGTACGACACTATTTTGGAACAAAACACTAATGTGTAAAGGAGAATACATAAAAATAATATCTTTGTACTAATATACAGTATACTCATGCTGGGAAAATTGGTCTTACATGCTGTAATGATATATAGTAATTGAATGTATAAAATTTTTTTTAAAAAAGTAACAAAAAATTAAATTAAAATTACTACATAACCCAGCAATTCCACTTCTGATGCCCAAAAGAACTGAAAATACCCACATAGATATTTAAATATGCCTGCTCAAGCAATATTATTCATAATACCTAAAAGATGGAGGCAACCCAAGTACCCATCAACAGAAGAATGAATGAACAAAGTGTGGTACATATTTATAAAATGGAACATTACTCAAACTCAAAAAAAGGAAGTCTACCATTAAACATATATTATATCATGTGTCTCAACTATCTTGTAAGGCTGTGGTCCAAAATATGTGAAAACACTTTGTGTAGCCAGTAAAACATTATACTGGTACATTTGTCTTTAGTTGTAATATAAACACATGAAAATCTCTCTGACTTTCAACATATTTAGTACAAATGGAGGACTAAATTACACTATGTACGACACTATTTTGGAACAAAACACTAATGTGTAAAGGAGAATACATAAAAATAATATCTTTGTACTAATATACAGTATACTCATGCTGGGAAAATTGGTCTTACATGCTGTAATGATATATAGTAATTGAATGTATAAAATTTTTTTTAAAAAAGTAACAAAAAATTAAATTAAAATTACTACATAACCCAGCAATTCCACTTCTGATGCCCAAAAGAACTGAAAATACCCACATAGATATTTAAATATGCCTGCTCAAGCAATATTATTCATAATACCTAAAAGATGGAGGCAACCCAAGTACCCATCAACAGAAGAATGAATGAACAAAGTGTGGTACATATTTATAAAATGGAACATTACTCAAACTCAAAAAAAGGAAGGCAATTCTGGCACATGCTACGTGGCTGATTCTGAACATGCTAAATTAAATAAACCAATCACAAAAGGACAGATACCATGTAAGTCCACTGATACGAGGTACCTACAGTAATCAAATTCATAGAGACAGAAAGTAGATTGATGGTTGTCAGGGACAGAAGGAAGGGACAGGTGGAACCAAGAGTTTAAGGGGTCCAGAGTTTCAGTATGAAGATGAAAAAGGGTCTGGAAAAGGATGGTGTTGATGGTTACACAACAACATGAATGTACTTAATGTCCCTGAATTGATTAAAAACAGTAGAATGATAAAACACCAAGAACCAAAAACTTTACTTACCTTACTTAATGGAGAGGGAGCACCAGATCTAAAAGGCAACAGAAAAGAGTTAACTGAATATGCATGAACACATTTGTAGAAGCAATGAAGTTTGACATCACTCAGTGAAGCATTTGCTTGTATACATAGACATTTTATGAAATGGATAAACTTAAAAAAAACTTTTATCCTTTACTCAGTTGTGACAGTCTTTTCCAATGTTTCTGTTGACTTAATTTCCAATACTAGAAATTCTTAAATCCGAAATTATTTTCTATATATTTAGCAACTCAATTGAGTTGATTATTATAAATGGTCCAAGATGAAATTTTATAAATTTTGCTAAGACTTTGGAAAAATCGCGCTTTATAGAATTTTTAAAACCCCCTCTGATTTAACTGACTAAGGTTAAAATACATTGTATTTCATTTATCATAACTGTGATGCATAAAATGAAAAACACTAAAAAAAAAACAACCCTATGAGCCCTATGACTGAAATATATCTCCACTTCCATATTCACACTTATGAAGGTTTTCTTCCCCTTTTTTTTCCTCCCACTGTCTACAAAAACTAGTTCTAAGAAAAACATTCCCATCATCCTGTTATAACTAATGAGAGCATAAAAAAGAATAGCAACTTTGATGCCTTTTCTAAAGGGAGTGGGGAAAATTAAAGGGAGTAATTTTTTTAAGTCAGCATACTGGTAGCACTGACTTATACATCAGACCTAGCAAAGTGCTTCAGAAACAGCTGCTTGAACAGCTTATATTTTACTAACCTGAGTTGGTGGAAAAGTGACTAACAAAACAAAATGAAGACAAAAGTACATTTCAATAAGCAGCAAATATTAAAGGTCTTATTGGATGGTAGGGATGGCTTTTCACTCATCACCAGAGAGAGTACCACACACAGCAATAGCAAAATAAAATTAGCAGAGCTTTAGTAACTGGAATTTTGTATGATATTATGCATTTTTGTTTTATTGATGTAGCAAATTTAGCAGACTTATATGCCAGATTATCTTTGAAATTCAACATCGTGTGCACGTACATTCCCACCATTTCTTGTTTAAATTTAGTTTTTGCTTAAAATGAGTATAAGTAATGGAAAGGAGGGGCATATAGAGATTTCTTTTACATACCAAAGACGGAAGTATAAGTGTTACAATTTGGTTATTTGCAGTTTCACTACATGTTATCTTAGGGGTAATATATAAGGAAAAGTATATATATTTACATATGCTGGTCATTTCAAAGGGTTTCCTGAAATAAATGAATTCACAGTGTTCTCTGTATCTATGGGAACTTACTTAGGAACCTTAAAATATAGTCTTATATGACCTTGAAAATTTCCTATTACGCTCTTAGCTAATGACTTCTCCAATTCCCTCACTGTATTTCTGTATATGTATATGTGTGTGTGTATATATATATATATATAACGGAAAAGGGAGTTAAATCTAAATAAAAATTCAAGAAAACAATAGCCAAAACTCTGCCAAAGTACACACATTAAAACTTCAAAAAACAAAACAAAACCCGGGACCAGCAGTTAGCGTAATGGCTATGTTGCTGGACTCCCACGTAGTCGACCGTGGTTTGCATCCCAGACCCAGAGGCTTAAACTCACGCCGGGCGCATGTGCGTGTGTGCCCAAGATCCCGAGAGGAGAATGAAGAAGAAGGGATTGTGGCGTGGCCATTCCCCCTGGGGGGTGATTTCTCGCTTTCTGTCTCTCTGTCTCTCTCTGTCTGTCTGGTGAGCACACGTGCCCTATAGCAAAAACCTCTAAAAAAAAAAAAAAAAAAAAACCACCCATAAAAATCATTTGACATGGTCACCTTCCAAGAAAAAATTAATTTAAATAAATTTTTAAATCCTCAAGCAATTTTCATGAACCAATTCTTAGTGGTACTGACACTATGAGAAATACTGCTACAGAAAAGACAAACAATAAACAGGATCTTTCAAAATACATTTCAAAACTATTACATACAAATTTATAACATATCACCTACCCCATAACAAGAATAAAGTTATAATGAAAGTGACAGACATGCTCTACTTGCTATTAAAGAATATCACACTCAAAGCTAAGTATGAAAAATCATAACAGGCACAACAATCAATCTGCCGAGCTCCCAAAGAACACTATTACTAAACACCTGCAGTTATCCTATGGATAAAACCTGCTGTCTCTGTGGGGCTATCTTCCCACATACCACACACTGTATCTTAATTTCTAGAACGATCTGTCTTCTTCACTAGATGCTACTGATAGGACATAACATTCTTCTGAAAGAAAGCAACTCATCCCCTTGTTTTATATCCCTAGAACTTCACAGGGTACTTAGCATTTTCACTATTATTTCTGTATTATTTGAGTTTTTAAATGAGAATACACTCATCTGTCCATTTTATAATCAGTTTACTAACCATAAATCTTGTAATTCTTTTTTCTAGGCAACTAAACTGACAATGATGTATGATCCCTGTTCTGGCTTTTGCTACGGTTTAATCAGAAAGATGAAAATCAGAGGTGCTCCTGTCGGGCAGCAGCTTTACAAAGCATCAATAATCACTGAAAATTAGAACTCAGGCCAGCAGGTGGCGGAGTGGCTAAGGCAGTGAACCCCACAAGGCAGACTACAATTAGCATCCCAGACCCAGTGACTTGAAAAACACACCGGGCGTGAGAAATCACATAAGTGAACTATGCTGGGAAAAATAAGACATTAAGATAATATTAGAAGCGATCCATTTAGTCATCTACCCTAAATTATGTAAAATGCTCTAAATAAATCCATGTTACTTTTTTTTTTTTCATTAGAAACAGCAAATGTTTCCTTCTGCAATAACAGTAAGCTGTCAAAAGAGAAAATTGTATTATTTCTTATTTGATTCACAGTAATAATTCCTATATAGTTTTGAGTATAATGCTAGCCAGAAAAAAAAATACAGTTGTGGAATACCTATCTACAGTTTCCAGCTAATTTTAATTACGAAAGACTTACTTTGTGTTTCCTGTACTCTATACTTGGTAAACCCACATGTAGAAATAAAATAAATTTCTCTCTTTTGTGGAACTACAGAAACAGATCATACACAAAGGTATATCATACAATATTCACACAGTTTCAAAAATGAGTATCAGTGGACTCAAGGCATTCAATTTAAAATGTATACTTTTTTATAGCAGACATGTGAAAATGATTCATTTCATTTATATACTTAGCTTAACACTGCTACTAGAAAATAATTTAAAATAATTAATTTTCCTTATAAAGTTGCTCTTTGACACTTATGTCATGTGCCATGTGGAAACCCCTTCATTTACTAAACAAATGGAATCATTAATTTCTAAAATCTAAGAGGAATATACATATATACCTAACAGAGGATGTTAGCTTTGATCCAAGAAGACCAACAGAAAGTAAAACCATTTATGCCGGTCATGTTGAGAAACAAAAGCAATTAAAAAAAAAAACAAACCACAGATGTGTGAAATGGACAGAATTCAATTTAAAATATTCTAAATACAAAATGTGGAATCTTACGAGTGTTTTTTGCATCTTTAGTAATTAATAAATGCAAAAAAAATCACTCAATATAGTACTCACCCTTCACTTAAGTTCCCAGGTAAGCACAAACATGCAAAGAAAAAAATAGTTAACTATCATAGTTTATTTTAAAAATAAGGAATAAATAAAAGACAAGTTTAAATGTGGTCTCTGCCAATTCAGAAAACAAATCTGACAAGCATAAAATGATTTTAAAGGAGAGGAAAATTATTCTTAGCAGAAGGAAATTCAAAGTGGAAGATCACATTGAGTTATGTCACTTTCCTAGAAATGTAACTGAACTGTCCATAGTTAATTTTTCCAAAAACAGCTTGGAGTGGCCACAAGAGGGCGAATAGAGATTTGAAGTTAAGGCTCAGGAGATCCATTCTCTGGGGAAGGGTAATTCACTGCTGACTGCAGCACTGGCAGACTGAACTAAAAATTCAAGGGTAGAGTGTGGACCTAGTAAGGGCAGGGGAGACCCACCCTGAGGGGAAAAGAGAGTGGAGGGGCCAACAGGCCGCATGCATCCAATACTCCCCAAGGGAGAGGCTCCTATTGAGGGGATGTGCATGCTTCTTTACCCAAAGAGGTTCTTCTGACACAGGAGCAGGGACATTTCTTGGCTTCCTCTCTAAGTCCCAGGCAACTCATCCGACTTCCCAAATACCTCAACAGTGGGTGGTCCCAACAATATCCTACAGTGAGCATGACTGATTTTGATCTATTGTATTCTCATGGTAAAAATCTGATCATCTATAGGCACACTGAAGCTGGGGGCAGACCCTGGACTATGGTAACAACACCGTTAGAGCCTCTTAAAGGTCCTGCCATCCACTATTCCCAATGGTTCTGCCAGAATTGTAAGAGACTCCTATATTGCTGGCTACCATCAACAATTTAAAAGATGCAATTATTTCCCTACTAATGTGAAAAAATGGGGTAGAAATAAACCTAACTAATGAAAATATTCAGCAAAAAATGGAACATCAATTCATGAGCCTAGATTCTGGGAGAATGCTAAAAGAACAAAGTCAGAAAAGAATTGCATCTTGATAGCTCTTTCACAAGTAAAATTTGTGATCAGCACACAGTCCTGCAATGATCAGTTTATTGGTCTACTAATTCCTGCT